GGCTCATGCTGCCCCCCCCATGCCCCGTTTTGGCTGGCAGAGTGCTGCAGGAGGCTGTCTAGGCCAAAAATGGCATCCGCGGCCCCTCCATGCCCCATTTTGGCTGCCAGAGGCACCGCGGGGCGGTCCTTTGCTATTTCCAGGCCGGCTCCGCGGGCCAAAATTAAGCACCCCGGCCTTAATTTTGACACCCGTGATCTAGGATGACCCGCAATTGTTACACACCAACTCAGTCCATTGGGATGATTGTGAAAGGGGCAAGAAACATTTTTTTTGTGACCCGGAGCCATCTTCAAAGCTTTCCAGATGTTGTCTTCATGGCTTCTCCACTCTACCCACCCCAACCCCCCGAAGCGATTTTGGTCCACGAAAGCCACATGATTAAAAAAAATATTTCCCAACTCCTCTTTTTACCATCGACGTCACCGACTCCTCGTTTCGAAACAAACACTAATTAAAGCCCAGCTTTTTGGGAAAGGACTGTAATTTTGGCGCCAATAAATATCGTAGCATCCCACCTTCGAACGCCGAGTAGGATTTAGGGTTTGATTGTGGTCCCCTGCTTTTAAGTCTCGTGGCGGGCGGAGAATCGCCCCCCCTCCCAGTCGTCTGATATGTTTTTTTAAAAAAAAACGAAGATTGTTGTGTTTTGTTTTTTTCTTGACAACTTCGAAAAATAGCACCGAGCCGTAGCAACAAGATTGCATAGAAACCGGGCAGAAACTGTGGCATTTTCGAAATGTGTGCATGACAAAATCCGTCTCGCGTCTTCTAGTTAAGACATGGATCTGAAAACTCAGCAGCCCTTAAGGTGAGCTTCGTGGAAAATCGTGGGAAATTACTTCGGTTTGGAATTGGCCGCGGTTATTTAGAGCAAGGTTTACAACCGTGTGTAGGCAGATGTTCCCATGGGCGATTTGGAAAATATACCATATGGGAGTGAAAATTTCTGCAAAACGTCCTTTCGGGCAATTTCGAATAAACCTCGTGAGCCGTGAATAAAACTCCTTCTTGTTGGCCTCAAGGGAGAGGCGCGACACGTTAAAATTTTCCTGCTGCCATCCTGCCCTTCTATATTTGTATTTTTGTGTATGTGTATGTGGTTTTCTATTTATATATTTGCGAGCATGTTTTCTCTTTCTGCTTCTGTTTTTTTTTCCGCAATGAAAATAGCAAAGGCTTAGTTGAATTTTTTTAACCCCCCTTCTCTCTCTCCCTCCCTCTCCGTCCTGCGCCCATAAGAACGAAAATTCACATTTGTGTCTACGTGGGTGAGAATTATATATTCTTCTTGAATATTTTTAACGAAATGTGTTTCTAGTGGTTAAGCCTCTGTGGTGGGATTTTTGGATTCTTTTCTGCATTCTACCACTTTCAATACAGGCGGTCCTTGACTTATAACAGTCTATTTAGTGACCATTCGAAGGTACAACAGCACTGAAAAAAGAGACTTATGACCATTTTTCACGCTTACGATCGTTACAGCATCCCCCCCCCATGGTCATGTGATTAAAATTCAGATACTTGTCAACTGACTCATATTTATGACAGTTGCGAACATCTGACAAGCAAAGTCAATGGGGAAGCCAGATTCACTTAACAACCGGGTTACTAACTGAACACCTGCAGTGATTCACTTAACGAGAAAGTTCGTAAAATGGGACAAAACTCACTGAACAACCAAGACGCTTAATGGCAGGAATTTTGGGCTCTCAATTGTCATCGTAAGTCGAGGATGATCTGTATTCAGTAGATCTTGAAATTAAATTCTTGCCTGTTTTTCGGTACAGAATCTCTCTCGATCTTGCAGAGTGGAGTGCAATATTTAGTCCACCTTCAGAAAGTTCTGATAATCTCTTTCTACGTAAACGGTATAATCTGGATGTGAAGCTTCTTGAACCCAATGGGCAGATTGCGGTTTTCTTTCATACCGTGCCAGATAGAAGCAATTTGTGCTTGGAATGGATTAGTGCTTTCTGTATAATTAAAATATTTGACGCTGGAAAATGTGCAAAGCGTTGCAAAGTTGAAATGTTTTTGGTCTCAGAAGGTTTGGGGAATAAGCTGGCCTGGTGTTTAGGAGAAGCTCTATCTAACCTGTCCATTATTGTTCCAACACCGTGAAAACTTTACCCAAGCAAAGCAAAAAGCAAAAAAGTTTGCAAACAATTTGCACAGTTTCTCCCTTTCCTTCCCTTCCCTTCCCCCCTTCCCTTCCCCATCAATTCCCTTTCCTTTCCTTTCCTTTCCTTTCCTTTCCTTTCCTTTCCTTTCCTTTCCTTCCCTTCCCTTCCCTTCCCTTCCCTTCCCTTCCCTTCCCTTCCCTTCCCTCTTCCTCCTTTCCTTTCCTTTCCTTTCCGCCCCTCCCCTCCTTTCCTCTTCCCCTTCCCCTCCCATCTCTTCTATTCACCCTCTCCTTTCCTCTCCTGTCCCATCTCTTCTCCTCCCCCTCCCTTCTCTTTCCTCTCCTCCCCTCCCCTTGTCTCTCCACTCCTCTCCGCTCCTCTCCCCTCCCATTTATCCTCTTTCTTTTCTTCCCTCTCCTCCTCCTCTCCTCTCCTTTCCCTTCCCTTCCCTTCCTTTTCCTTTTTTCCCCTTCCTTTTCCTTTCCTTTCCCTTCCCTTCCATTTCTCATTTTCTTTCCTCCCTCCCTCCCTTCCTTCCTTCCTTCCTTCCTTCCTTCCTTCCTTCCTTCCTTCCTTCCTTCCTTCCTCCCCTCCCCCTCCCTTCTTGCCCATCCCCCATCGTAAGTAGGTTACCAACAAGTTATATATTATTCTATAAAGCTTTCCTCACTCACCGTTATTAAAATGTTATGATATTATTATGAATGAACGATGTCCATTCTTGATGCCTGGAACTCACCACATCCCTGCAAGCATTTTTGTAACACCTTGACGATGTTGGCTTGCGCGTGGGGGGGTTGGAAGTTGGCTTGTTCCTTCTTGGATGATGCCAGTGGCCTGCTATTTACAATGTTGGCTATTGCGTTTATTTTGATTTGGTTCACCATCCAGAGCCATGTACTTGAGAGGAGTGGCAGAATAAGTGTATTAGACAGTAATCAAAATAGCTAGGTCAGCCTTATCTCTGTGAGTTTGTTTGCCTTTTGATTTAAGAGGGGTTTTCATCACTAAAATCTTATTTTTCTTTCTTTTTGGGGGTGTGGGTGGGGTTGGTTTTAACCCTATGTGTGCTGCCAGAGTTGCAACTATGAGCTGGGTAGCTAAATAAGTTAATATAACAAATAAATGTGAAAATATCTACAGACCCTTCTCATCCTGGACATCAACTGTTTCAACTCCTACCCTCAAAACGATGCTATAGAGCACTGCACACCAGAACAACTAGACACAAGAACAGTTTTTTTCCAAACGCCATCACTCTGCTAAACAATTCCATCAACACTGTCAAATTAGTTACTAAGTCTGCACTACTATTAATCTTCTCTTCCTTACTTGTATCCGTCTCTTCCCACTTATGACTATAAGCATGCTGCTTGTATCTTTACAATTTATATTGTTTTTACTTGTTTCCTAGTACGATTTGATAGCTTGTTAGTAACCTTGTCTATCATTAAGTGTTGTATCTTTTTATTCTTGATGAATGTATTTTATTCTGCTTATGTACACTGAGAGCGTATGCACCAAAGACAAATTCCTTATGTGTCCAATCACACTTGGCCAATAAAGAATTCTGTTCTGTTCTGTTCTATTCTATTCTATTCTATTCTATTCTATTCTATTCTATTCCTATTCTATTCTATTCTATTCTATTCTATTCTATTCTATTCCATTCCATTCCATTCCATTCCATTCCATTCCATTCCATATTCTCTATTCTATTCTGTTCTGTTCTGTTCTGTTCTGTTCTGTTCTGTTCTGTTCTGTTCTTTTCTGTTCTGTTCTGTTCTGTTCTTTTCTATTCTATTCTGTTCTGTTCTAATCCATTCCATTCCATTCCATTCCATTCCATTCCATATTTTCTATTCTATTCTATTCTATTCTATTCTATTCTATTCTATTCTATTCTATCTATTCTATTCTATTCTATTCTATTCTATTCTATTCTATTCTATTCTGCTGAAACCCACCTTTGCTGGGAAGGATTTTCCCCCCTGCAACAGGCAAAGTTTAGTAACGCTGGAATGCCTACATCCGATCAGTAGCCGATCCCTGGTACTTTCGCCTTCGTTTGCCAGCATTTGCAAATCTTATTTGGATTTAAAAAGGGAGAGTTGAATCGAGAAGGCTTGCCTTGGGCAGCTCTTCAGATCGGTGGCACTGTTGTTATTCTCTGACATTTACACTGATGTGCTTACGTGTCCATGAACACGCATGTGAACAAAATGTAGCATAAAATAGCAGATTAATTTCTGGGCAAATTCATGTTTTAAGAAATCATAAGGAGTTGGCCTTCCCTAGGATGATGGAAGGAGATGGAAGGGATGTATTTACTACACTTAATTGGAATATCTATCTATCTATCTATCTATCTGTCTGTCTGTCTGTCTGTCTGTCTGTCTGTCTGTCTCCATCCATCCATCCATCCATCCATCCATCCATCCATCTACCTACCTACCTACCTACCTACCTACCTACCTACCTACCTACCTACCTACTTACCTACCTACCTAAATAGAGCTGGAAGGGACATTGGAGATCTTCTACTCTAGTCCAGTTCTAGAGCAACCACACCTTCTGGAGGCAAACTGTTCCAGTGGTTAATTGTCCTCACTCTTAGAAAGTTTCTCCTAAATTCCTTCTCCTTAAATGCTTCTCTCCTCGATTAATTTCCATCCGTTATTTCTTGTCTTGCCTTCTGGTGCCGAGTTAGAGCAAAGCTGGATAATATACCTTATGTGAAAATGGTCTCTAAACCCAAGACAGAAGTTCTTGACCCAATGTTCAGCGAATGCTGAACTGAATTTGCAGATGGTTTCAGATTGGCTTCTGAAATGGGCAAATCCTACATAACTCCTTGTTGCCTCCTGATTCCAGATATTAGCGGTGGCTACCCTACAGAAGGATGACCATGATGGGAGATGCAAGTGAGATGCTGGCCGCAGCTTTGGAACAGATGGACGGCATTATTGCAGGTAGATCATCCATCACGCTCTTCCTTAGCTCTACATTTCATCCCTGGCTCTGATATTCTTAGATGCACAGAAAGCCTTTGACAATGTGAATTGGCGATTTATGTTGCTTCAAATGGAACACATGGGCTTTGGTAAAAAATTTACCCAATCGCTTGAAGCTATATATTATAAGCAAACGGCAAAAGTAATGATAAATGGAGAATTGACAGATTCTATTGAGATTAAAAAAAGGTACCAGACAAGATTGTCCACTGTCCTCTCTGTTGTTCATATTAACATTAGAAGTGCTAAATAGAAATATTAGAGAAGAAAAAGATATATTTATTTCAGCAAGCCGGGGCTGGGTTAAAAATCTTTGAATTGCTGAATTTTATGGGTAAGGGGTTTTAAATTGGGGGAAGCCAATATAAATTTAATTTTGTTTTATAGTATTTTAATGTTTATATTGTATGTTTTTTTTTAATTTTGGCTGTTCACCGCCCCGAGTCCTTCGGGAGAGGGGGCGGTATAAAAATTTAAAAGATAAATAAATAAAATAATAAATAAAATAAAAGGAATGAAAATTCGAAAAGAAGAATCTAAATTGCAAGCGTTCGCAGATGACCTGGTATTCGTTCTCGAAGATCCACTAATATCAATAATTACACTGGTAGATAAAATAGGAGAGTTTGGGAAAGTAGCTGGTTTGAAAATCAATAAAGGCAAAACGAAGATTTTGACTAAAAATATGTTGGCAAAACAAAAAGAAGAATTGGCGGATACATCAGAGATGCAGGTCGCAAATAAAGTTAAATATTTGAGGATATATTTGACAGCAAGATGTAGCACGCTTAAAGAAAATACATTTCATCCCTGGAGGTGAACTCTTGTGGTTGAGGTCAGGGAGTTCTCCAAATCTGACAACTTTAAGACATGGGGACTTCAATTCCCAGAATTCCTCAGCCAGCCACTCCATGCTGACTTGGGATATCCTGGGAGTTGAAGTCCACAAGTCTTAACATTGCTAAATTTGATGGTCTCTCCAGGTCTAGGGATTGATCAAGTACTGGTAGTCCTTGACTTACGACAGTTCGTTTAGTGACTGTTTACAACAGAATAATGACTGGTTTTCACACTTACTTGCAGCATCCCCGTGGTCATGTGATCCCCATGGTCATGTGATCCAAATTCAGACGCTTGGCAATCGACTCCTATTTATGTTGCAGCTTTTTGCGACCTTCTGACCAGCCAAGTCAAGGGGGAAAGCCACTTAACGACGGGGTTATTAATTTAACAACGGCAGGGATTCACTTAACAAAGGCAGCAAGAAGAGTTGTAAAAATGGAGCAAAACTCGCTGAAGAAATTTCTCACTTAAGACACATCAATTTGGGGCTCAATTGAGGCCATAAGTCAAGGACTACCTGGATAATTGATGCTCAACCTGCAGGTTTAACGGTCTTCTCCCCACCCTCGTCCTTCAGGGTCCAAAGCTCTGGAATACTCCAATGGCTTGTTTGATTGCCAGTCCCCAACGTCTCCGTTCATGGGAAGTTTGCGTGTTCTGCACCTGGTGGAAGATCTCCGGGGTTTGTTGGAGATGATGGAAATAGACGAGAAAGAAGGACTGAGGTGCCAGGTCCCCGATTCGACAGCCGAGATTTTGATGGAATGGCTGCAAAACCAAATGGTGAGAACAAGCGAATAGGTCATTATAAATTATGGTGGAAAAAAAAAATACAGTGGGCCTAGCCTTAAAAAACCCCAGGATTTAAAACATACATACTTGTTGAAGGTAGGTAGGAAGGGAGGAAAAGAAAGAAAGAGGGTGGGGGGAGGGAGAGCGAGAGACAGAGACAGAGAGAAAGGAAGAAAGGAAGAAAAGAAGGAAGGAAAGAAGGGAAAGAAAGAAAGAGAAAAAGAGGGAAAGGAAAGAAAGAAAAAGGAAAGAAGGAAGGAAAAGAAGAAAGGAAGAAAAAAAGAAAGGAAGGAAGAAAGGAAGAAGAAAGAAAGAAGGAAGAGAAACGAAGAAAGGAAGAAGAAAGAAAGAAGGAAGGAAAGGAAGGAAGGAGGAAGGAAGGAAAGAAAAGAAAGAAAGAAAGAAAGAAAGGAGGGAGGCAGGCAGGCAGGCAGGCAGGCAGGCAGGCAGGCAGGCAGGCAGGCAGGCAGGCTGAGTCAACCTTGAGCCGGTCAGGATTGAACTCCTGGCAGTGGGCAGAGTCAGCCTGCAATGCTGCATTCTAATCACTGCACCACCATGGATGGATGGATGGATGGATGGATGGATGGAAGGAAGGAAGGAAGGAAGGAAGGAAGGAAGGAAGAAAGAAAGAAAGAAAGAAAGAAAGAAAGAAAGAAAGAAAGAAAGAAAGAAAGAAAGAAAGAAAGAAAGAAAGAGAAAGAAAGAAAGAAAGAAAGCATGCATGGTAGCTCAAGTGGCTGGAACCCAGGACAGGAGGTTAGCGAGCCCGTGTTCGAGACCCGAGTTCTGGGTGGGATGAGCTCCCGTCCTTTGCTTCAGCACCTGCCAGGGACATGAAAGGAGCCCCAAAGTGGGCGTTTCCTAGGCAATGGTGATGTCACCGGCTGATCCTTTCAACCTGGAAGTGCCTTGGTGCTTCCGACATGAGTGTGATGCGATGTGACATGCTTGTCAAAATCCTATGGTGTTGCCACGCAATTTGACTTGAATTTTTTTTACAGGGTTTTTGCGTTTCCCTGTTACTGTATTTGTGAGAAGTGAGTTGTGTTGCAGAATGGGATGGGCGGCATAATAAACCAATAAATAAATAAACATAAGGAAGGAAGGAAGAAGGGAAGGAAGGAAGGCAAGAAAGAAAGAAGAAAAGAAAGAAAGAAAGAAGAAAAGAAAGAAAAAAGGAATGAAGAAAAGGAAGAAAGAATAGAATAGGATAGAATAGGATAGAATAGAATAGAATAGAATAGAATAGAATAGAATAGAATAGAATAGAATAGAATAGAATAGAATAGAGGTACATTGTAATTCATGTTAGGCTAAAAATGTATAATCATAGAATGGAATGGAATAGAGTAGAGAATAGAATAGAATAGAATAGAATAGAATAGAATAGAATAGAATAGAATAGAATAGAATAGAATAGAATAGAATAGAATAGAATAGAATAGAATAGAATAGAATTCTTTATTGGCCAAGTGTGATTGGACACACAAGGAATTTGTCTTGGTGCACATGCTCTCAGAAAAAGGAAAAGGAAGAAAGAAAGGAAGAAGGAAAGAAAGAAATAATTTAGATAGAGGATTGTTATCTTCTCATGTTTCCCATGTAACTGATTTTTGATGTTAACCTGACAATGCATGTGGGATGGCATTGTATCTTAATATCTTATAAGCAGTTATGTTAACTTCAGCCTTTTAGAATGAATAATAAATTCAGTTACTGTTATCCTTAACTACTTTTACCCCTTCTGTAATTTGTCATGTCAATGATGGCCAATTAATAATGTGAAAATCACTCATGATACTCAAAATGATGGTGTATGCCATCAGGTTCTTTGGTGGAAGGAAAGTTTAGAAAAAAACAGACTTGAGCCCAGTTTGCAGTTCTAACCTCGCACTGCCCATCCATTAAAATTGAAGAACAAAAATCAGCTTGCAGAACTATGGCATGGCATGGAATAGATAGACTAGATTAGACTAGACTAGACTAGACAGTAGGAGAAGGAGAAGGAGAAGGGGGAAAGAAGAGTTAGTAGGAGAAGAATGAGAGAAGTAGAAGCAAAAGGGATAGGATAGGATAGGATAGGATAGGATAGGATAGGATAGGATAGGATAGGATAGGATAGGATAGGATAGGGAGAAGAAGGAGTAGGATAGAATAGAATAGAATAGAATAGAGTAGGAGTAGGAGGAAATGGAATGGAATGGAATGGAATGGAATAGAATAGGGAGAAGGAGAAGGAGAAGGAGAAGGAGAAGGAGGGAAAGAAGAGTTAGGAGAAGAATGAGAGAAGTAGAAGCAAAAGGAATAGAATAGAATAGAATAGAATAGAATAGAATAGAGTAGAGTAGAGTAGAGTAGAGTAGAGTAGAGTAGGTAGAGTAGAGTAGAAGTAAGAGTAGAGTAGAGTAGAATAGAATAGAATAGAATAGAATAGAATAGGGAGAAGGAGAAGGAGAAGGAGGGAGAGAAGAGTTAGTAGGAGAAGAATAAGAGAAGTAGAAGCAAAAGGAATAGAATAGAATAGAGTAGAGTAGAGTAGAGTAGAGTAGAGTAGAGTAGAGTAGAGTAGAATAGAATAGAATAGGGAGAAGGAGAAGGAGAAGGAGGGAGAGAAGAGTTAGTAGGAGAAGAATAAGAGAAGTAGAAGCAAAAGGAATAGAATAGAATAGAATAGAATAGAATAGAATAGAATAGAATAGATTGGAAGGGACCTTGGAGGTCTTCTAGTCCAACCCCTCACTCAAGGAGGAGACCCTGTACCATTTCAGACAAATGGTGTATGGTAGTTAGGTGAGAAGCTGTACGTTGGCCTGCAAGTTCTTCATAAAAAGCTCAACTTCTGCAGTGGTCCAGAGTTGCCATCTACTGGAAGATGAGACTGCATGCAATCTGAATTCCTGACTGTAGGTCTTCAGTGAAATCTTCTCTGGTGTTTTCCATGATCACGGAAATATTTTCCCATGGAAAATTGTTGAGGCATGCTCCTCCATAGATGTGTCTAAATAGTAAGGCTAAAATTATATCCTTATATAACAGCCCTCTTTTGTCGGCCTGTCTTTCAGCGAGACACTTATGGCAATAGCACTTAGACTTACATACCACTTCATAATGCTTTACAGCTCTCCCTAACTCCGTGTTTCTCAACCTTGGAAGCTTGAAGATGGGTGGACTTCAACTCCACCCATCTTCAAGCGCTGCTGCCTGGGGGATTCTGGGAGTTGAAGTCCACCCATCTTCAAGCTTCCAAGATTGAAAAACACTGCTCTAAGTGGTTTTACAGAGTCGGCCTCTTGCCCCCAACAATCTGGGTCCTCATTTGACCCAACTCGGAAGGATGGAAGGCTGAGTCAACCTTGATCCGGTAAGGATCGAACTCTGGCTGGGGGCAGAGTTACCTTGCAATACTGTGCCACCAAGAAGGAGATTGAGAAAGGGAATAAGAGAGGAAGGAAGGAAGAAGGAAGGAAGGAAGGAAGGAAGGAAGGAAGGAAGGAAGGAAGGAAGGAAGGAAGGAAGGAAGGAAGGAAGGAAGGAAGGAAGACCACTTAGACTTATATACCACTTCACAGTGCTTCACAGGTTTACAGAGTCAGCCTCTTGCCCCCAACAATCTAGGTCCTCATTTTACCGACCTCGGAAGGATGGAAGGCTGAGTCAACCTTGAACTGGTCAGGATCAATCCTATAACATTTCAGACAGATGGCTGTCCAGTCTCTTCTTAAAAAACTTCCAGTGTTGGAGAATTCACAACTTCTGGAGGCAAATTGTTCCACTGGTTAATTGTTCTCACTGTTAGGAAGTTTCTCCTTAGTTCTAGGTTGCTTCTCTCCTTGATTTGTTTCCACCCATTGCTTCTTGTCCTACCCTCAGGTGCTTTGGAGAATAGCTTGACTCCCTCTTCTTTGGGGCAGCCCCTCAAATACTGGAAGACTGCTATCATGTCACCTCTGGTCCTTCTTTTCATCAAACTAGACATACCCAGTTCCTGCAACCGTTCTTCATATGTTTTAGCCTCCAGTCCCTTAATTATCTTTGGGGTCATCTTGAAGTTGGATGAGACATAAAAGAATGAACAGAAAAGAAATACATAGGGCACGGGGTGGGAAGAGTGGTGGGAAGTGTGGGTGGGTGGGAAGAGATTCTGGATTCTCATCTTACAACCTTTGTGATGCCTTTTTACGTGGCACATCGTGGTCTTTTGAACGGATCGAGAAAGCAACGTGACAGGCAACTCAGTTGGGTTTTTTTCTCTCATTTTCCAGATTAATGGACATTTATCTGCTAATGGAGATGTCTACCAGGAACGGCTGACCCGGCTGGAAAGCGATAAGGAATCCCTTGTCCTGCAAGTGAGTGTGAAGATGGCACATTCTCTGGTTGGCATAGAGATAGGGAGTGGCACCATTTGTTTTCATCTTTCTTTCTTTCTTTCTTTCTTTCTTTCTTTCTTTCTTTCTTTCTTTCTTTCTTTCTCTTTCTTTTTTCTTTCTCTTTCTTTCTTTCTCTGACCCTTTCTTTCTTTCTCTGACTTTCTTTCTTTCTTTCTTTCTTTCTTTCTTTCTTTTTCTTTCTTTCTTTCTCTTTCTCTTTCTTTTTCTTTCTTTCTTTCTTTTTCTTTCTTTCTTTCTTTCTTTCTTTCTCTTTCTTTCTTTCTTTTTCTTTCTTTCTCTGACTCCTTCTTTCTCTGACCCTTTCTTTTTCTTTCTTTCTCTGACCCTTCCTTCCTTCCTTCCTTCCTTCCTTCCTTCCTTCCTTCCTTCCTTCCTTCCTTCCTTCCTTTCTTACAGGTGAGCGTCCTCACTGACCAAGTGGATGCTCAGGGAGAGAAAATCAGGGATCTGGAGTTGTGCCTGGAGGAAAACAGAGAGAAGCTGAATTCGACAGAAGAAATGCTACAGCAGGTACCACCCGTTCTCCGTCTGTGAATCTAAAGGGTTTTTAGACATTTTCTCTTTCCTTTCTATGTCTTAGTAAAAAGTATTGATCCATTCGTAATGCCTATTCAAAATAGGATGTTTGAGTGTCTAAAAGATTAAAAACGAATGGAAAATGTTTATTTAGTAATGCTATTTCAATTCTGGACCTGTTTTAGCCTTGTGCCATACTTAATATTGTTCCAAAAATGGAAGAACGTTTTTAAAGACAGCGATTGGTAGGGTGATTTTAATTGTTGCAAAGAATTAAGGAAACAAATTCCTTTGGCTAAATAGTGATTCTGATGAAATGGATATTTCCAAGCCATTTAACCATTTAAACTTTTAAAAATAGAAACATAGAAATTCTGGACCATTTGGCAAAAACCTCTAATCACGCAGTGTTTTCATCTGATTAAAGATTGCTTTTAGAAACTTCTTCAGATGATGTAATATTTCCTCCTCCTCCTCCTCCTCCTCCTCCTCCTCCTCCTCCTCCTCCTCCTCCTCCTCCTCCTCCTCCTCCTCCTCTACATTTGATACAACATTCAAAGACACCCCACCTTTCTCTCTCCTCTTTTAAAGCATTCGTTCATTCATTCTCTTCTCATTTTGTTTAAAAATCAGGAGCTCCTAAGCAGAACATCTCTTGAAACTCAGAAGTTGGATCTCATGGCCGAGGTCTCCAACCTGAAGCTGAAGCTGACTGCAGTGGAAAAGGACAGGATGGATTACGAAGACAGGTTCGGAGATGCAGATGTAAGTCAAACAAATTTAAAAAAAAATACTTTGGGGGAAATGCCATGGTCAATTTCTTCACTATTTTGCTAAGCATGGCGTTTCTCGATCAACGTCCATCTTGAAGTCAAGATAGCAATAGCAGTAACACTTAGACTTATATAGCACTCCATAGTGTTTTACAACACTTTCTAAGTGGTTTACAAATGTTAGCATCTTGCCCCCAACAATCTGGGTCCTTGTTTTATTGACTTTGGAAGGACGGAATGCTGAGTCAACCTTGAGCATCAAACTCCTGGCTGTGAACAGTGAGTTAGCCGTCTTACCCCTGGACCAAAGGGATGTCCTTTGAGGCAGCTGCTATGACTGTCTTAGAAGATGTAGCTGCTTTAATACTCTGGAAAATGGTCTTTGGCTTTCAGGAGTGAAAATGCTCTTCCTTCATTGAGTTGGCTTGCGTAGATATTTCCATTTCATTGATTTCCACCATTTTCTAAAAAGCAATAGCACTTAGACTTATATTCCACTTCATACTGCTTTACATTCTAAGCGGTTTACAGAGTCAGCATATTGCCCCCAACAATCTGGGTCCTCATTTTACCCACCTCGGAAGGATGGAAGGCCTTGAGCCAGTCACGATCGAACTCCTGGCAATGGGCAGAGTTGGCCTGCAATGGTGCATTCTAATCACTGCACCACCATGGATGGATGGATGGAAGGAAGGAAGGAAGAAAGGAAGAAAGAAAGAAAGAAAGAAAGAAAGAAAGAAAGAAAGAAAGAAAGAAAGAAAGAAAGAAAGAAAGAGTCAACCTTGAGCTGTGAGGATCAAACTCCTGGCAGTGGGCAGAGTTTGCCTTCAATGCTGCCTTCTAATCACTGCACCATCATGGATGGATGGATGGATGGATGGATGGATGGATGGATGGATGGATGGATGGGGAAGGCAGGCAGGCTGAGTCAACCTTGAGCCGGTCACGATTGAACTCCTGGCAGTGGGCAGAGTCAGCCTGCAATGCAGTCATCTTAAAACTGTGAAGACAGAAGGCGGCGGCTCAGGTGTCTTTAGTGCATTTTTCTCCTCGCTTCTTGACTTTCAAATCTTTTTGTTCACTTCTTTTCTTCCGAAACAGGATTTGATGCAGGAAGTTAATGATTTGCGGTTAAAAGTAGGAGAAATGGACAGGGAAAGGCTTCAGTATGAGAAAAAGCTGAAGTCTACCAAAGTAAGTCCATGTTACAGATAAAGAAATGCAACTTTGGCCGTCTTTATCTCATGACTTATGCATCTACCCAATCTTTTCTATCTAAGATTGAGCCATAGATATGGCAGCCAGTATGTGATTGGTATAAGCCAAGGGTTTAAGTTTATTTATTTATTTATTTATTTTATTTATTTTTATTTATTAAGTTGGTACAGCCAGGGGATGGTTAGAGGCTGTTTCTATGAAACTGCCTTTAGGAATGGCTAGTATATAAATCAGGGGTGGGATTCTACTGGTTTGGACCGTTTCGGGCGAACCGGTAGCTTCGGTGATCAGCTGGGCCCGTTCTCCCACCCCTGCGCTTTACTTAGCTTTATCTTCGCAGCTGATTAGCGCGGCAGAGCGGATTGCAGTGCCTCAGCTGTTTTAATTCCCTAGCACTAACGCAGAAGGTGATTGTTTTTTGGGTAGAACTGCGCACACGCGAGCAATGCGTGATCCCCGAACCATTTGTTAAACCGGAAGAATCCCACCACGGATACGAATGTTTCCTTCTTCATATCAGTGAAGGAAAATTGTGAAATTGTAGAAAGCTTGCTAGACTTCGAGCTAGAAATGCTGCTTTCTCTTCCTGTATTTATACACTAGCCCTTAAGCAGGGGTGAAATCCAGCAGGTTCTTACAGGTTCTGGAGAACTGGTAGCGGAAATTTTGAGCAGTTAAGAGAACCAGTAGCAGAAATTTTGAGCAGTTTGGAGAACCGATAGCGGAAATTTTGAGCAGTTCAGAGAACCAGTAGCGGAAATTTTGAGTAGTTTGGAGAATCAGCAAATACCACCTCTGGCTGGCCCCAGAGTGGGGTGGGAATGGGGATTTTGCAGCATCCTTCCCCTGCCATACCCACCAAGCCATGCCCACCAAGCCACGCCCACAGAACTGGTAGTAAAAAATGGATTTCACCACTGCTCTTAAGGACGTAATTCACAAAATGAAAGAGCAAGACATCACACTGGCTAAGAAGAAATTAGCGCCTGCTTAATTTAAAATGCCTACTGTACTTTTCAGAGTATAAGACGCTCCGGACTATAAGACGCACCTACCCTTTTTTGGTGAGGAAAAGAAGAAAAAGAAATCTCCCTCTGCCTCTTAGCAATTTTGCCTTGTTGCAGCAAACAGCCTGCTTTACTTTCATTTTCGTTTTCAGCATAGCTTGATTAGCACAAGAAAAAAAAAATCTGCTCCCAGCAATTTACCTCCTTGCAGCAAACAGCAGAAGCCCATGCAGCAATAAGCAGTGGCAATCCCTGTAGCCTGAAACAGCTGAGAGTCGGGAGGCCGATCCAACGGACAATCAACTTGTGCTAATCAGGTTGTGCGGAAGCTGAAATGGGCTGTTTTTTCTTGCTGCTTGCTGCAAGGAGATAAATTGCTGGGAGGCAGAAGCCAAATGGTGGGTGGGCCGTGGGTGGGCGGGGCTACATTCAGTGTATAAGACGCGCCCAAATTTTCACCCCCTTTTAAGGGGGAAAAAGGTGCGTCTTATACTCCGAAAAATACGGTAATTATTTTGCTGGTGTAGAAAAAGAAGATGGTGGCTAGACAAATTTAGATGATACTTGGGTATATAATGTCATGCTAATCAGAAGACCGCATTGGAAAATGGTATGAAAAGTTAGTGCCTAGACCTGTTTAAGAAGAGCGACAATGGGGTTGAGAATCACTTGGATTGTGATACCAGAATTGTGATTTGTGCGTGTAGGAGTCCAAACGTCGTATCTGTTATTACAGCAGGGGTGTGGAACAATGGCCCCTTTATGACTTACGGACTTCAACTCCCAGAATTCCTGACTCGGGGATTCTGGGAGTTGAAGTCCACAAGTCATAAAGAGGCCATCCTTCCCCACTTCTGGTCTACAGATTCTGAAAGCAGCCACATCATTTCCCAAGCTTGCAACTCCCTAATCTTTTGAAGGTATAACCGAAACCAGTGTAAAAACAATTAAAAGCAGAGTAATATAAAATAATTGTGATAGTTGATATAAAAGGTACAATACAGCTGTGGAAGGACTTTTTATCAATTAATGCCTCATGTTTACAGCTGCTGCTCAATTTTGGGCCATAATCTAATTGATTTACCATCTGCACCTACAAGTATTGTCCGATTGCTCTAGGTATTGATGTAAGAGGGGCAGGTGATAGGAATGACAAACATCTCGGTAGAAGCTGTAGTAAAGTACTACGTGTTGGCTGTTTCAGCATCTCCAGTTTTAATGGGCAAACACATCTCTCAAATGGAATTTTAGAATATCTTCCTCGTAATAATACCAAAGGCAGACTATTATGTCTCACTCTAAAGAAACTTTTCCTTAAGTTGGCAGGTGTCTGAAGAATGATCATTGGCCATTTTCAAAAATAGCTCTTTGTTAACCAAAGTCCTATTTCTCTATGATAGATTATTTACTATGGGGTCCTTGGTACTCTCTGAGCTTGGTTGTTTTCTTTGGACGTTTCATTACCCAATTAGGTAACATCATCAGTGCTAGAAGGGAGTGGGGTTTGTGAAGAAGAGGAGGAGGAGGAGGAGGAGGAGGAGGAGGAGGAGGAGGAGGAGGAGGAGGAGGAAACAGAAGAAGACTATAGGATCCTTGGTGTCCTCTGAGCTTGGATTCTTTTTTTTTCCAGACATTTCATTACCCAACTAAATAACCTCATCAGTGCTAGTCATTTCAACCCTGAGCTACAAATATTCTCCTTTATAGCTTATTGACTTCTCCTTGAAATTCTACGTCCTTAAATTTTTGGAGAGATGTAAGTTTGGCAAGGTCATAGACCCAAGGTTCTTCAAAACCTCTGAACTGTAAAATCATCTGTTTTTGTTCTATGATGTCCTTCCAGCTTGAGGGACAATCGCCAATCATTATGAGGGATTCCTTGGTGCTCTCTGAGCTTGCTTCTTTTCTTGCAGATGTTTATTACCTAACTAGGTAACATCATCAGTGCTAGACTAGAAACATTGGCAAGAAAACAAGCAAGTTCAGAGAGCACCAAGGACCCTTCATTTCAACCCTGAGCTACAAACATTCGCTTTTATCAATCATTATTAATGGGATTGGGTCCAAGAGAAAAAGGCACGGCTGCTTTCAGAAGTTGAAGATAGGGTGCAAGATTCACCTTCTCCCATGGTCCAAAACCACAAGCTTTTTTGGAGATCAAATCCAGAGCACCGCAAACTTTTGACCAGTCATATTTCACAATTCACGTTAGATCTGTCCTTCATAACGGCTACCATAAGGTCTTCTGCTTCTGTTCTGCCCCAGCTACGGACCCCAAAGAACACAGCACACACAAAGTTTGTACAAAACTTAATTTACTAAAATAACTCCGTCTTTTTCAAAACAAAGGCTGTTAATAAACTTTTTTAACAGCCTACAAGTAACCAAAGATAAAGTAATCACAATCTTACTAAGGTTGGCAGAAAGCCCTGAAGCAATTTGCAGAGAATCCAGACACGAAGGAGAGTGAACTAAAGTTGTTCCCTACAAATTGCTTCAGTCGGCGTTCCTCCTTAAATAGGCTAAGGGAGTGGCCAATTAGCCCCAAGCCTTACTCTTAAGGAGACCACCTCCTGAGGAGCCACTCCTGCCTTTTGGCAGCTCTGCGCGCCTGTGCATTGAGAAGAGGCTCCTCCTCTTCTTCCTCTTCATGTAAAGGAGCTTCTGGAGGTTCTGAAGGCCCTGGCTGATCCTCTGGCACCACATCTTCTCCAGCCTCCTCATTGTCTGACACGAGTGCCAGCTGCACAAGCTACTGGCACAACACCACACCAGCCTCCTCGCTGTCAGAATCAGCTACAATCCCCACAGGCCGCTGACGGGCCACAACAGCTTCAAAGATTTGGTGTCTTTTGATAGGCGTATCTTTCACTGAAGATCATCCCTCTCGCTTTAAATGTAGACCTGTTTATTATTCTCATTATTTAGCCTTTTCTTTTCCTATCATGTTTTCCTGAAAATAAGACCCTGTCTTATATTTTTTTGAACCCCGAAATAAACACTTGGCCTTATTTTTGGGGAGGTCTTATTATTTTGGGGTGTGTGGAGGAAACCAGATGACATGGCGGGAACTGGCTGCGCATGTGTTTAAGTATTTTCAGGGGAGGACTTATTTTAGCGCATGCGCTCAAAAGCTTCATTGGGCTTATTATCAGGGGATGTCTTATTTTCGGGGAAACAGGGCACATCTTTACTTCTCCTTCCATCCTCTGTCCCTCTTGCCAGTCTTTAATGGCCAAACTTTCTAGCATGAAAATCAAAGTGAGCCAGATGCAGTACGAGAAGCAACGGATGGAGCAAAAATGTCAAATATTGAAGGTCTGGTAGATCGGTAGACTTTCCGTGGCTTTTTGTAACTCTCTTTACCGTCTTGCTTGTCTGTATTTTAAAACTTCCTTTTTCCTTTTTTTTCTTTTCGGGGGTGGTGCATGTATGGATTTCTTTTTCCCCCCTCCTGTTCCTACGTAAATCCCTCCGAAGTACGTCTCCAACTAAACCAAAATATCTGTGTGTGTTTCTGTTTTTGTTTTTTTTTTAATTTGATTTAGCCTAACGCAGAAAACCATCGGCTGCCGGTTTCTTTCTTGAAATGCGTTAAGCTGAGCTTTTTAGAAAAAAACACCACCACCATTCCAGCTTTCCTTATTGTAAACCAATATTCCATTTGTTTTTGGGATGTATTAACCTCTTACGCAGGGGTGGGATTGAAAACGTTTAGCAACCGCTTCTCTGCCCGGTTGCTGGGTGGGCTTGGCCATGAGGGCGTGGCCTACTCGGGCTCCGGAGGCTGGAAACGGGCCCATTTCTGGACTTCCGATACTTCCGGTAGGCCCATTTTTCACCCTCCCAGAGCCTCTGTACGGGCCCTGCACTTATCCTGCATCCAAAACGGGCCGCATGGAGACTCTTGAGAGGAGTGGGGTGGAATGGACGGGGCCAGCCACTCCTTGCAACTACCGGTTTGGTGAATCAGATGTAAAATTAACATCCGATTCGTCCGAGCCGGCTGAATCCCACCCTTGCTCTTACATCTTGGCTGACAAGTGTGCCTCTGTTGCAGAGAAGATTCCTTGATTTGTGGCCTCTTTGCATTAAAAAAAAAAAAGAAAGGTAAATTGGATTACTAGATCCTTCTAGCATTTTGATTTTAGAAAAAGGGAGGATCGCAATTGACTTCTTCCCCTAAGAACTGAAGAAGCTCCTTGGAAGAGAAGTGAAATGTCTTCTAGGAAAAAAAAACAAAAAAAGGCCAGTTGCCTTTTGAAAAAGCACCTTTGGGTCCATCATAATTCAATCTTTTAACTGTGTCTGTATTTTTTTCCTACGAACAAATGTACGGAGCACACAGCTACATTCCTACATATGCATTATTTTTTATGATTTTAAGCATCAAAGCATGCTGAAGCATTTTGTGTTTGTGAAAGACGTCGTCGTAAGAACTTTCAGTCTGGACTCACTTCCACCTGAAAGCAGTGAGTGTAGAATTGTCCTGTCTAGTATTGTACACTTAATTGTTGGTGAAAATGTGTCATGCATGACCGAATGGTAATGAAGATCCTTTTATGTTTCAGTTCAAAGCAGGATATTGAATGTTTAAATCAGAGATGGCTAAAAGACAGGTTATTTTTATATTTGCAAGGGTAAACTTCAACTTAGAACCATTCGCTTAATGACCATTTCCTTTGTAGCATCCTCACAGCTGCATGATCTCAATTCAGACGCTTGGCAACGGATTCATCTTTATGATGGTTGCAGCGTCCCGGGGGCTGTGTGTTCCCCTCTTGTGACCTTTTGATAAACCAAGTCAACGGGGGAAGCCAGATTCATTTAACAACTGAGCGAATCACACTTAACAACCGCAGTGATTTGCTTAAATATGGCAAAAATGTTCATAAAATCGGCGGTGGCTCACTTAACAACCGCTTTGTTTATCCGTAGAAAGTCTGATTCCCAATTATCGTGCTAAGGTGAGGACTACCTGTGATATAATTGACCCAGTTGGATCAGTGGTGGGATTCAAATAATTTAACAACCGGTTCTCTGCCCTAATGACCGGCTGGGTGGGCGTGGCCATGGTGGGCATGGCCAGGGTGTGTGACAAGCAGCACTCTGCCTCCTGCACCCACTGGGAGTGAAAACGGGCCACGGGGGAGATGCCGCACCCTCCGCATCCCGTTTTGGGCCTACTAGGCCTCCCTGCAGCCTCCTGGGAGTGAAAATAGGCTGCTGGGAGGGGGGGTGCTGCACCCCCACGCCCCATTTTGGGCCTAGGAGGCCTCCCTGCACTTACCTGGGAGCCAAAATGAGGCGTGTGGGGACTCCTGGAAGGGGTTTAACTACCGGTTCGCACGAACTGGCTGAATCCCACCACTGAGTTGGATACGATTATTTCAAAATAAATGAATGCCATCTTTGCTTTAAACAGCCAACGTTGGTTTAAACCTGTCCCTTTTAAAAGTGAAAACCAAAATAATATTGATTTCTTCTTCTTCTTCTTCTGTCTGTTCAGGAAGAACTATTGTCTTTAAAAGAGAAATTAGAACAGAAGGAATCGGAGATAAAACGATTGCATGAGAAACTGGTCCTTCAAGTGAAAGAAGACATTGACATCAATGACAAAGGTGAGGCGAAAATTGTAAATACTGTTTTTGTGACGCCGGCTGGGGGATTCTGGGAGTTGAAGTCCATACAGTGAAAACTGAAGTCCACAGATCTTAAAGTTATGAAAGTTGAGCAATCTTGGGCTAGATGGTTACCATATTTTTCAGAGTATAAGTCACACTTCCTCTCCCCCTAAAAGAGGGTGAAAATTTGGGTGTGTCTTATACACCAAATGTACCCCTGCCCACCGCCGTCCCCCCTTCGGCTATTTTTGGGCCCTGTGTGTTGCATTTTAGACCTGTTTCAGGCTGCAGGGATTGCCACAAACCATCCCCACCTCCGTGCCTCACGTTTTTGGCCTCTGTGCCTTACATTTTCAGCCTCTGAATGCTCCCTTTCAGACCCGTTCAAGGCTGCGGGGATCACCAGAGCATATTGCTGCCTCTGCACATCACATTTTCAGCCTCTGCGCATGCCTTTTTCGGCCTCTGCGCATTGCGTTTTTGGGTGGTTCCAGGCAGCGGGGATCGGTGGCAGCAAGGGGGACCACTCAAAAATGCGACACGCAGAGGCCAAAAATGCGATGTTCAGCCTTGAATGGGTCTGGAAGCATTCGGAGACTGAAAACGTGAGGCACAGAGGCCAAAAACATGAGGCACGGAGGTGGCCGATGAGGAAGAGGAGGAACAGCTGGGTCCAGTGCCTAAAGCGCAGAGGCACAGAAGGCAGAGGAGAGCAGAGCAGTGGAAATCTATGGGCCGGTCCTTGGGACAGAAGAGCCACTTTTGCTAGCGAAGGCGCGCCTTAACTCTGGGAATAAAAAGCAGGGGGTGGAGATGAATAGGCGTGGCAGACAATTAGTCATCTCCTGGCCAGACAGACTTGTTAGCCTGCGGTGAGAGAGAAACTTTTTGCCGGGGCTGCCGGCGCTCCTAATTAAAGGAATCTTTGAGTTCACTTCAGAGGGTTTGTCATGTTCGGGGAGCTGGGCCAGAACAATTTGTAAATAAATCTAGTAACACATGTGCTACGGGGTGTGTGTGTGTGTGTTGAATTTGTCTTGCACATGCTTCGACACTTGGAGTCTAATTTTTCAATCTTGTGGGTCTTCCTGCACAGATGACAATTGTAAAAAGAAGCTGAAAGACAAAAGTAAGGGTTTTTTTGTGTGTGTGTCCTCTCCCCAGCACATTTCTCACGTCATTTTCTGGTAGTGCTTCCTGCATGTATCACATTAAAACCATATTAACAAAACCCTCAATGGCGCATCTTCACCTTTCATCTCTAATCCAGTGAGGGAAACAGTAAAGGGTACTCTTGTGTTTTTTAAATGCTTTACAGATGGTCCTTGACTCGTGACCAGAATGGAGCCCAAAATTTCTGTTGTTAAGCGAGTGGTTAAGTTAAGCCCCATTTTACCACCTATCTTTCTGCCGTTGCTGAGTGAATCACCGCAACTATTCAATTAATAACACAGTTATTAAGTCAATCTGGTTTCCCCATTAACTTTACCTGTCGGAAGTTTTCCAGACATGATCGCGTGACCCCGGGACAATGCAACTGTCGTAAGTACCAGCCAGTTGCCAAACAAATAAATTTTGATCATGTGACAAAGTGAAAACGGTCACTTTTCAGTGCTATTGGAACTTGGAATGGTCACTAAATGAACCATTGTTAGTCGAGGACTACTTGTATTTTTCCTTTAAAGGAAGTGATGGGTTTCTAATGCAATATTCCAATCCTTGGCTTACCGAGGGGAACACTCTTAGCAGGTAACACAAAGGTCTCCATTTTGGTTCAACTGAATTGATTGAATTGATCTGAGAGCAACAAATAACTCGAAGTCGAATTGGTTTTATTTATCGGAGTTCACAAATCATATGTTCCAACGGATATCTTATTAAGTCACAGATAGCATCTTCTACTGGTTTTTTTTGTGAAACTTAAGCTGAAAAGCAAAAGCAGAGTTAATATACTGCTTCACAGTGCTTTGCAGCCCTCTCTAAGCGGTTTACAGAGTCGGCATGTTGCCCCCAACAATCTGGGTCCTCATTTTACCGACCTCGGAAGGACGGAAGGCTGAGTCAACCCTGAGCCCGTCAGGATCGAATTCCTGACAGTGGGCAGAGTTAGCCTGCAATACTGCATTCTAACCACTGTGCCACCATAGATGTAGATGATAGAAAGATAGCAATAACAATAGCACTTAGACTTATATACCGCTTCATAGTCCTTTTACAGCCCTCTCTAAGCGGTTTACAGAGTCAACCTCTTGCCCCCAACCATCTGGGTCCTCATTTTACTTGACCTCGGAAGGATGGAAGGCTGAGTCAACCTTGAGCCAGTCAGGATCAAATTCCTGGCAGTGGGCAAGTTAGCTTGCAATTCTGCATTCTAACCACAGTTCCACCAGGAAGGAGAATGAGAAAAGGAAGGAAGGAAGGAAGGAAGGAAGGAAGGAAGGAAGGAAGGAAGGAATAACAATAGCACTTAGATTTATATTTAGGTTTATTTTCCAACTCTAAGTGGCTTAGAGAGTCATCATATTGCCCCCAATAATCTGGGTCCTCGTTTTACCAACCTCGGAAGGATGGAAGGCTGAGTCAACCTTGAGCTGATCAGATCAAACTGCTGTCAGTGGGCAGAGTCATCCTGCAATACTGCCTTCTAACCACTGTCCCACCACACACCATATATCGGCCCGACTTTTTATTGCAATAGAGATACCCACCTTCTTATCACAAATCTCCCATTTCATAACTGCTTCTAAACATCCGACACTGTCCATTACCCTGTCTTTTGATGTTATTTGTATGATTCTTCAGCTGTTCAATTTCCTTTCCTTTTTTTTTTTTGTGTGTGTATTGATGTTACAAAAGAGTCATTGTTATTTCATCCTTATCGGGAATGTTTTAATCTCTGGAGATTTGTAATGTTAACGATAAATGAATAAGATTGAGCATTCCGCTGTATTTGGCAGAGCTACAGTTGCGTAGTTGGTTAAGAGTGAGTCGAAAATCGGAAAGTCGTCGTTTTTAGAATTCCCGTTTCACGTTGATTTGGGGTCCTTCACACATTGTCCCCAGTTTTAAAATTGGTCACTTTGGTTAACATTGTGGCTTTGTGTTGACTTCAATTTACACGTTGGCTTGCAGTGTCTTTCAATGCTGTCAGTAGTGTAATGGATGAGAAGTGTGCAAGGAATGACGGTTATTAACCTTCAATGTCCATGATCATCACAAGCCCCTTTCTCCATTAAAAACTAATTTGATTTCTTCCTATTTAAATTTGGGTTTTAACTGAAAGGAATCTAGCTGCATTTTTCCCGGTTCGCGCTAAACGATAGAGTTGGTCAAGATTGGTTTTCTTTCTAACCTTCCACGGGAACGTAAGCGGTAAGCTTTTATCTTTTAGATGTTGAGGTTCAAAAGATGAAGAAGGCTGTGGAATCTCTACTGGCAGCAAATGAAGAAAAGGTAGGTATGAAAGTATTTTCTGATTTTGATGAATAAAAAGGAGGTATGGAGTTGGTGGATCCGGGGTCCGAGTCTAGTCATAAATGCTGGAATTTATGAATTCTGCTGGAATTTTAAAGATCAATAAAGGAGAATATTTGTAGGGTTGCAATGCTGTTTTCTTGTAGGCATTTCATGACCCAACTAGGTAACATCATCAGGGCTAGAAGGGAGTGGGTTTTGTGAAGAGGAGGAGGAGAAGGAGAAAGAGAGGGATGGAAAGAAGGAGAAAGAGGAGGAGGGGAAGGGGAAGAAGTAGAAGGATATGAAGAGGAGGAGAAGAAGGAGAAGGAGAAAGAGAGAGGGATGGAAAGAAGCAGAAAGAGGAGGAGGGGAAGGGGAAGAAGTAGAAGGATATGGAGAAGAAGGAGGAGGAAAAGAAGAGAAGGAGAAAGAGAAAGAGAGGGATGGAAAGAAGGAGAAAGAGGAGGGGAAGGGAAGAAGTAGAAGGATATGGAGTAGAAGGAGGAGAGGAAGAGGAGAAGGAGAAAGAAAGAAGGGATGGAAAAAGTTGAAAGAGAGGAGGGGAAGGGGAAGAAGTAGAAGGATATGGAGAAGAAGGAGGAGGAGAAGAAGGAGAAGGAGAAAGAGAAAGGGATGGAAAGAAGGAGAAAGGAGGAGGGGAAGGGGAAGAAGTAGAAGGATATGGAGAAGGAGGAGGAGGAGAAAGAGTGAGAAGAGGGATGGAAAAAAGAGAAAGAGAGGAGGGGAAGGGAAGGGGAAGAAGTAGAAGGATATGGAGAAGAAGGAGGAGGAGAAGAAGGAGAAGGAGAAAGAGAAAGAGAAGAGGGATGGAAAGAAGGAGAAAGAGGAGGAGGGGAAGGGGAAGAAGGACATGGAGAAGAAGGAGGAGAGGAAGAGGAGAAGGAGAAAGAAAGAGAGGTATGGAAAAAAGTTGAAAAGAGAGGAGAAGATATGGAGGAGGAGAAGGAGAAAGAGAAAGCGAAAGAGAAAGAGAGGGATGGAAGGGAGGAAGAGAAGGAGGAGGAGGAGGACTTTAAGGTCCTCGATGCTCTCTGAGCTTGGTTGTTTTCTTGCATACATTTCATTACCCAAACTAGGTAACATCAAAAGTCCTGGTGAAGATATCACCTAACGCTTGAACTTAATGATGCTACCTAATTTGGGTAATGAAATGTACGCAAGAAAACAGCTAAACTCAGAGAGCATTGAGGACCCCTCATTCTTAAGATCCTGGAGTTTTTTCGTGCTTCAGACTGAGGCATTTTGCTTCACGCTCAATCCTGGGAAAAGACATGGATGCCTTCAGGTGTTTTACGTCTAAATCAGTTGGATGCTCAGTCAGGATCTCCTGCTTTGGGCAGGGGGCTGGACTAGAAGACCTCCAAGGTCCCTTCGAACTCTGTGATTCTATGCCTTAAGTGATTCAAACAGGGGGCTTTCTTTCTTTTAGGATCGGAAGATTGAGGAGCTTCGCCAGTCCCTAAATCGCTACAAGAAGGTGCAGGATATGGTCATTTTGGCTCAAGGGAAGAAAGGTATAGAACCGTGATGGCGAACCTATGGCAGGCGTGTTCCATAGGTTCTTTTCCAGTTGCTCTTCCAGGTTCCATCGTGCACAGGCGTGCTGGCCAGCTTGTCTTTGTGCACGCGGGAGTGCCGGAAATTGGAAGCTCAGCTTCCTGGGGTGCGCATTTGTGCCGGGGAACTGCTCTTCTGGTTCCTGGCATTCCTGTGTGTGTGTGCCAGGAAACTGCTCTTCCAGTTTCCGGCACTCCCCCCCGCGTGCACACGTGCTCCCGTTTTGGCATTCGGTGCCAAAAAGGTTCGCCAACACTGGTATAGAATGACCATTCCATTCCATATTTTCTATTCCACTCCATTCCACTCGATTCAACTCCACTCGACTCCACTCCATTCCATTCCATTCCATATTTTCCATTCCATTCCATATTTTCCATTCCATCCCACAGCACTCCACTCCATTCCACTCCACTCCCTTCCATTCCACTGCACTCCACTCCACTCCTTTTCTCTCCACTCCACTCCACTCCATTCCATTCCATTCCATTCCATTCTATTCCATTCCATATTTTCCATTCCAGTCCACTCCATTCCATTTCACTCCACTCCATTCCTCTCCACTCCACTCCCATTCCATTCCATATTTCTATCCACTCCACTCCACTCCATTCCATTTCACTCCACTCCATTCCTCTCCACTCCACTCATTCCATTCCATATTTTCTATTCCACTCCACTCCACTCCATTCCATTCCATTCCATTCCATTCCACTCCCTTCCATTCCACTCCACTCCACTCCATTCCTCTCCACTCCACTCCACTCCACTCCACTCCATTCCATTCCATATTTTCCATTGCATTCCATATTTTCTATTCCACTCTACTCCACTCCACTCCACTCCACTCCATTCCACTCCACTCCATTCCACTCTACTCTACTTGCCGAACGACAAACCATGATCCCAAAGAAGACATTTGATCTATACATTTCTGATTTTCTACTCTTAGGCAAGGATGATGAAAGCGAGGAATCTGGGAGTCCAGCATCGGTTTCCTCCATTTTGTTAGAACCGCAGAATCTAAGCGAAGCTGAGAAAAGTCCCTCTTCTACTCCGCTTTCAAGTTCTCCAAACCATGAAGCCTCGAGGACAACAGATTCCGAAGAGGTAATTTCAATTTTTTTCCTCCGTTAGCTTTCCTTCTAGACCTTCTGGGAAATTGAATGGGTATTATTCAATTTCAGACTTTAAAAAGTCTGTACTATGGACCTTAAATAATATAAGGAGAACACTTAAATAATATGAGGAGAACACTTCCGTATTTGGAAGCATAATACAATATATTTGGCTAATAAATACCGTATTTTTCAGAGTATAAGACTTTCCCCTCCCCTAAAAGAGGGTGAAAATTTGGGTGCGTCTTATACACTGAATGTACCCAAAAATGTGAGGCATGGAGGAGGTGATGGTCTCTGGCAATCCCTGCAGCCTGGAACAGCTGATTGGGGGTATTCCAGGAGGCCAATCCACCCGCAATCAGCTGCTTGTGCTGTATCAGGCTGCAATAATGTGCTGAAGCTGACCTGGCTTTTCGCTATTTGCTGCAAGGACTGTCAGAGTTTGCAACAGCAATCACATCCAGAAAGCACACACAAGTAAGTGGTTCAGCAGGATTCAATAACTTCTCTTTATATATAGTAAATATAGTATATTATATACTATATAGTATATTATATACTATATAGTAAATATAGTATCTTTATGAAGTAAATATACAATAACAAAAGCAGGTTTTCCAACGTGGTAGTAAATACCAGCAAAACACAAGCAGAGGAGAGGAGTTTCAGTTTTAGTTTCACAGCTCAGCACAGCATGCAGCTTTAATACAGAACAGTTGAGCTAAGCCACGCCCAGGCTCCTTGCCATCTCCTTCCTTGTTGCTCACACAGCAAATACTGTTTCAGTTTCCAAACAGCCCTCAACTCTCTCACACACTGACAGGACGCTAGCGAGATGAATACCAATGGATGCTGGTAGGCAGAGGCAGAATTTTTTCCCCTTATTTTCATCCCCAAAATCTAAGCTGCGTCTTATACTCTGGAGTGTCTTATACTCTGAAAAATATGGTAGGTATCTGTTGTCGCTTAATGCAAAACACGATATTTTTCTGTTGTAGAATTCCATCCAGCTCCACACCAGCGTCTTGCAAGTTTCCATTCCTTCTTTTTCACAGTCGTCCAAACATTCAGAAGAACAGACCGAAAGAGGAAACGTCCCATCCAAAATGGAAATTGAAAGTGAAAGCAGGTAAGGACGCTGAATGCAAAAGTCCCTAGGTTTTTTGTGAAGAAATTGAATGCAATGAAATTTTGGGATCCATAGACTTTTCTCCCAGAAGTTGGCCAAGGAAACATAATACAGGCCGTCCTGGATTTACGACCACAAATGAGCACCAAATTTCTGTTGCTAAGCGAGGCAGTGCTAAGTCAAGATTTGGCCCGTTTTACGACCTTTCTTGCCACAGTTGTTAAGTGAATCACTCCAGTCGTTAAGTTAGTGACATGGTTGTTAAGTGAATCTGGCTTCCCTGTTGACTTCACTTGTCGGAAGGGTGCAAAAGGGGATCTTGTGATCCCGGGACACTGTAACCGTCATAACTACGAGTCAGTACCAAGCGTCCGAATTTGGATGACATAACCATGGGGATGCTACAACGGTCGTAAGTGTGAAAAATGTTCATAAGACAGCTTTTTCAGCGTGGTTGTAACTCTGAACAGTCACTAAACAAGTCCTTGTAAGTCAAGGACTGGAGTCATCGGGGGAATATAGATACCAAATTTGGCAATGTTTGCTAATTCCAGTAGGAGAGAATGCGAAATAATTTTTCCATAACCGTGATTATTATCATCCTGTTGAGACCTGAACCAAATCCAATGATTTTAATCTTATAGGGATAATATTTTGCCAAATGGTTTCATTTGAGGAAAACTATCAAGAATTCAACCACAAAATTCAGTAGCGTTTAGACAGAGATGAGAACATTCTTACACTATTTTGTGGACTTCTCCTAATTTCCCTTAAAAATCCCACTGGAAATTTTGTTCCAATGCAAACTCACGGATTGCCATCACACTTAATTTTAAGAAGAATGAGCCTTACTATATTTCTTTCCTTTCTAGAACAAATAATTATGTTAGGAGAAATAATACTTTTCTTAGTATTACTATTTATTAGATGAGGCGGTATTAATTAAGGCTCTCTTTATTTTCTTTTAATTTTTTTTTTTGCAGCGAGAAAAACCCAGCGATGGTTTCCATAGAAACCCAGCTAAGTGATACAAAAATGTAAGTATCTGATCAAAATCTAAATCTTGATGACACATCCAGACCCCAAAACCATCAAACTCTTTTACAGAAATCCCTTCGTGGTGTTGATAGGGGTGTCCGCTGGGAAGGTGGAATCAAAAGAGTGACTGCCATTTTGACTTTTCTGCCCCTTCCTGGGGTCTACTGCTGGTACCTTGCTCAATAGTAGTAACTGTGAGAGGGATCTTGGAGTCCTAGTGGACAACCATTTAGATATGAGCCAGCCGTGTGCAGCAGCTGCCAAAAAAGCCAACACAGTTCTAGGCTGCATCAACAGAGGGGTAGAATCAAGATCACGTGAAGTGTTAATACCACTTTATAAGGCCTTGGTAAGGCCACACTTGGACTTTTGTATCCAGTTTTGGTCACCATGATGTAAAAAAGATGTGGAGACTCTAGAAAGAGTGCAGAGAAGAGCAGCAAAGAGGATTAGAGGATGATTGGAGGCTAAAACATAGGAAGAACAGTTGCAGGAACTGGGTATGTCTAGTTTGATGAAAAGAAGGACCAGGGGAGACATGATAGCAGTCTTCCAATATCTCAGGGGTTGCCACAAAGAAGAGGGAGTCAAGCTCTTCTCCAAAGCACCTGAGGGCAGGAGAAGAAGCAATGGGTGGAAACTAATCAAGGAGACAAGCAACCTAGAACTAAGAAGAAATTTCTTGACAGTTAGAAGAATTAATCAGTGGAACAACTTGCCTCCAGAAGTTGTGAATGGTCCAACACTGGAAGTTTTTAAGATGTTGGATAGACATTTGTCTGAAGTGGTGTAGGGTTTCCTGCCTAAGCAGGGGGTTGGATTAGAAGACCTCCAAGGTCCCTTCCAACTCATTCTGTTCTGTTCTGTTCTGTTCTGTTCTGTTCTGTTCTGTTCTATTCTATTCTATTCTATTCTATTCTATTCTATTCTATTCTATTCTATTCTATTCTATTCTACTCTACTCTACTCTACTCTACTCTACTCTACTCTACTCTACTCTCTTCTATTCTATTCCATGCTCTTATTTTCCTTCTACTCTTTCAGTTATTCTACTTTAGTTTCCCTCTTCTGTTACAGCATGAAGCATCTCCAAGCAAGCTGTATAGCACCGGGGATTTATCGAATTTTGTAATATATATTCCCAAACAATTTTCTGGCTAGTTTTCCTGCAAGGCAAAAGAGAGATTGATTTCCGGCGCTCCTTAATTAATCCTTAGCGCTTGCGCTTCAATTAACGAAGTTATTAAATAGTTTTTGCTGGGCTGGGGTGCATATTTTTGTAACCGTTTCTAACCCAATAATTTATTTCGTAGCGAATTCCTTGAGACAATATTCTTCCCACAAGTTTAATCTAAGAGAAATGGCAGATTGGGAAGGGGAGATCATACCGAATATTGAAATCTTCTTGGCACTCAGTGGTTACTAATAGGATTGGTAGTTCTCGACTTACAACAGTCCGTTTAGTGACCATTCAAAGTTTATCGAATTATCTTGAAATGTATTGTAGAGGGAGGGAGGGAGACATACTTTGAAATGGAGATATTCTTTATCCTGGAAAATCTAGTTTTGAAATCAGAAGAGGATACTCTGATCTTATCAGAAGTCTTCCAACCTTCTCTTTCTTTCTTTCTTTCTTTTTTTTTTTTTTTGCATAAATTTTTTTATTTTTATTTCTCTTTAACACATTTAAGGGTACAGTCTCTTATCCATCATTAATCATTGATCATTCATCTTATCCTTTAACTTTCATTTTTATTTGTTCGGGGCTGCTCTTTTACCATTTCCTCTTCTTCTTCCCTCCTCTTTCTTTTTCTGTCCCTTTCTACTTTCTTCATTCCTCCTCTCCTCTCCTTCTGCTTCCCCTCTCCTTCCCCCACTCTTCTCTTCTTCCTCTCTTTCTAACCCTCTCTCCTACTCTTCTTTCCCCTCCCTTTTCTTCCTCTTCTTTTCCCTCTCTTCTCTCCCTCTCTCTCTCTCCTTTCCTCTCTTCTCCCCTCCTTCCCTCTCTCTATTCCTCTCTCATTTCCCACTCCTTTGTTGTATCTATTTTCAATTTAATCTAGAATGGTATTCTAGCAGCCCCAATTTTCTATTTACATATATCTTCATTTCAAATTCTTTTTTGTTTAATAATTACATCTGTTTCATCATTCATGTACACTTTTATAGTAACTCTTTTTCTCTTTCCCCCCTTCCCCCTTTTCCATTTATTGTCTTTTCTTTTATTTATCACTTCCTCTCTCTTATCTTTATTTATGTTTCTTTTCCAACCTTTTCAAAGAATCTTCTGATAGTTCTTTTACAGGAAGAGAACTCCTTTCCATTTTGGACCTCTTGAGAGAAAAGTTGATTTTCTTTTTGTTGTCTTTGAGACAAACTTGATTCCAGACAAGTCCATGCGATTTTCCTTGGCAATGCTTTTCCAGAAACGAGTTGTCTTTGCTACCTTCTTAGAGTCGAGAAGGATTAAATAAAGTCACTCAGTGGGTCTTGTAACTAATGCAAAACTAGAATTTAAATTTTCTGGTTTCGAGCCTGATGTCTTAACCATCACACCAAGCCGGCTCTCAAATTATTTAGAAAAAAAATTAAACATTAACCTTAGCAAAGGGTTTCATTATTTTAAAGTCTCTTTTGCACAGATACCATTCTAGGGAGAATAATTTTCTCTTTGGTATTATGGAAGCATGGCTTTTCAACGGGTCCTTTGTCTGTGTGGCAAATCAGTTTGGAAAATTAAATCTGAAAACTAAAACTAAATGAAAAAAAAATGTGCATGCTCATTTTGTGCATGACTGGAGCATTGAAGGGGTTTATTCATTGCATCTTGTCATTTAAATCACACGCACAAAAAGGCATGTGGTTTGATCTTTCATATGTCCGGTTTTGGAAACTTAGTTTGAAAAATGGCAGGAGGATGAATTTTCAGAGTTGATGTGCATTTACACAGTTTTCTGTTCTGGCAGCTGGAGGATAATGGATTCAGTGATATGATTCTTCACACTCTTGAACACATTCATGGCCTTTTCAATTTTTTTAGTCCCATAACCTCAAATTAATTTTAAAGGGAAATTGAATGTTCAGGAACTATTAAATGGGAATTTATCAGGTGATTCCTTGCCCTAATTAATCAGACTCATTGGGCTTCTTGTTTGAGCTAAACTAATATAATGAAGTGGGATGCGGTGGCTCAGTGGCTAAGACGCTGAGTTTGTCGATCGAAAGGTCGGCAGTTCAGCGGTTCGAATCCCTAGTGCCGCGTAATGGGGTGAGCTCCCGTTACTTGTCCAGCTTCTGACAACCTAGCAGTTCGAAAGCAGGTAAAAAATGCAAGTAGAAAAATAGGGACCCCCTTTGGTGGGAAGGTAACAGTGTTCCATGCGCCTTTGGCAATGAGTCATGCCGGCCACATGACCACGGAGACTTCTCCGGACAGCGCTGGTTCTTCGGCTTTGAAACGGAGATGAGCACCGCCCCCCTAGAGTTGGGAACGACTAGCACATCTGTGCGAGGGGAACCTTTTTACCTTTACCTTTTAATGCAAAAATATTTGGAATTTAAGAGATTCCATCCCACATGTTTGGAATTCAAACACGGTTTAAAACAATGGTTCTAAACTTACCAAAAGCGTTCTAATGGTATTCCAGTTATTCTGGAAGTTCTTCAAAACATGAGAGAACAACCCAACCAGTTTGAAGATTGATTCATCTTTATAGGTTCTTGAGCATGCCCCATGCATATCAGAGCTTTCCTTGAATTATTCTAACCATTTTGTTTTTCCGAATTGGAAAAAAATATCATGAGAGACTGTTATGGGCAACGTCAGTGATGGCTAAATTTTTCGCCATCATGTGCCCTGAGTGGGGTGAGGGGTGGGGTGGGTCGCGTGCGCGCACGTGCCCACATCCATAATTCTATGCACATGCATGTGTGACTCCCCCCGCTCCTGCCACACGATGGCATGCTAGGCCCATTTTTTTGCTGTCCCCAGCCTCCAGAGCCTGTCTAGGAGTCTGGGGAGGGCGAAAATGGCCTTCTCCACCCCCAGAGGCCCTTCAGAGGTCAAAAACGGCCTGTTTGCCAACTTCTAATTCCACCAGATGGCATTTCTGGCCTCTAGAGGGCCTCGGGGGGAAGGCCATTTTTGCCCTCCCCAGACTCCTAGAAAGGCTCTGGAGGCTGGGGAGAGAGGAAAAATGGGCCTTCCCCACCACCCCCCGAGCTCCTCCGGAGGCAGGAAACAGCCTGTTTCCCTACTTCTGATGGGCCCAGAAGGCCCAAAAATCAGCATGCGCACACCAGAGCTAAATTCACGTGCCCACCAATATGGCTACACATGCCACCTTTGGCACGCGTGCCATAGGTTTGCCATCACGGAGCTAGGTTTTCAAGGAATAAGATTTGGAAAACTATTGTGTTTTCTTCTGATTCCTGGTTCTTTCAGATATCAGTTAGAGAAGTAAGAGCCTTGGTAATACAGTGGTTTAAGGCACCCTGTTATTAAGCTGGTTATTAAGACCAGCTGCCTGCAATTACTGCAGGGTTCGAATCTCGCCAGGCTCAAGGTTGACTCAGCCTTCCATCCTTTCTAAGGTAGGTAAATTGAGGACCCAGTTTGTGGGGGCAATAAGCTGACTTTGTATAAATATACAAAAGGATGAAGGCTATTGCTGAGCACATTGTAAGCCGCCCTGAGTCTCCGGAGAAGGGCGGCATATAAATCAAAATTAAAAAAAAAGAGAGAGAACTTCCTCAACCACGTCTTATGTTGTTCATGTTTCATATCATTCTGGCTTAAAAGATGATGTAATCTGTTCTAATTTTTTACCTTGCTGATTGAATGTATGAGCCCCAAATTTCAATTTTTGTTTGCTTATTCTTCTTATAATTTGTTCCCAAAGTTCAGCTCTACAAAAATCTAGCAGTCTTGGAAACTTGAAGAAAGACGCCTCAGAGGTGGGTAATCCTACTTTAAAAAAAAAAAAAATACTTATTAATGATTGATCTGCTTATTATTAACTCATACTGTGCTTTTCAGTCCTTAATCTGAATTTCATGGTTTTGGATTGTCTGTGAATATTAATTACTTAATAATAATTTATGTGCCGGAAGCTTCATTAAATATTTCCAATCATAAACCATGGAAATACATCTTTATGTCATTCTTGCAACTTTATTAGAAAAAGGTTTTCGTTGTCTTTTTTTTTAAAACAAACGTCTAAAGGCTGTAAATATAATAAAACAGATTATTTTATAAGATGCAATCAGGATGTTTTATTCAGTTCGGTGTCATAGATGACTTGAATTGAGCACATTTTTAGTTACAATTAAATGAAGAGTGATTCAATGAAATCGCAATTTATGTGACATATTTAATATGCCCAATTCTTCCCCACAGGATAAAGAGTCCAGAGACAAGCTAGAAGAGGTAATGAGATATATAGACAGAGCTGGCTGTTTTTCTATCTATCATCACCCTTTCTTTTTGGACAATGCCCTCTTTCGTGATTACAGGCCAATTCACAAATTTTGCAAATGTGCACGCAGTACAAAATTCAGAGAAACGGAAAAACTGAACGAGCATTGTATTTGAGATGAAAATACAATTGCAGCAGCCTATTTTTAAATGATGATGATGATGATGATGATGATGATGATGATGATGATTAAAATAGCAGCTTCCTGCAATAACACCAGTGGAACTGCAAAAAACTGCGCTACTCGGAACATCATATATTTTAAGAAGATACTTTGTTGATACCTAGGATGCTGGCAGCAACCCGTATCAACCATTAGCACCAGAATGGTATTTGTGATGCATTTTTAAATGATCAGTTGACTAGGTTTCATGTTTAATGAATAAAAGAGATAATAATAATAATAATTTTTAAGAAAATATATTTTAAGAAAATACTTGGTCGATACTTAGGCAGCAACCTGTATCAACCATCAGTGCCGGTTAATAATATTTGTGATACATTTTTAAATGTTCAGTTGACTGAGTTTCATATTTAATGAATAAAGTATATAATAATAATAATAAATATCCAAATGAAACCACTAACTATAGTATCAACTTCTGGGTAAATCTAACCCACTGTTTTGGCAGGCAGCTTAAAACCTAATGTACAAGGCCCCTTATGAATATTTTTTTTAAAAAAATATATGTCTTTAAAGTTCTTGAGAACTTCAAATAAGATGCCTCTTGTGTAATACAGGCAGTCCTAGACTTACGATCACAACTGAGCCCAAAATTAATGTTAAGTGGGACATTTGTTAAGTGAGTTTTGTGCCAATTTACTATGAATGAAAAACAATCATAAGTCACATGTTTCAGTGCCGCTAAATGAAGTGTTGTAAGCTGAGGCCTATCTGTTCACATACATTTTGAGCATGCCGTCTTCATTTGACCTTTGAACTTTCCGACTTCAATGCTCTTGTATCCAGTGATGTCACTGATTGTTACTGCCAAGCTGACTTTTTCTTTTTTCTTCAACCAATCAGAATAAATCACCAGTGGAGAATAGCAAATACGTAACCCTTCCTTGCAAGTCCCCGGGCGAAGAAGATGGTTTCGGATCTCGCAAAGCCAGGTCGTCCTTCGGCCGAGGTTTTTTCAAAATCAAAAGTAACAAAAGGACAGCAAGCGCACCTAACTTGGGTAGGTCTAGACATAGCATTCAACTTTTAAATGCCTGTCCCTAACAGGTAGAAGGAGATGAAATACTCCACTCTTATTATAGTATTTTTCCATTTGCAAAATGCAGAAAAAAGACCTTGGGTAGCCGAAGAAAATCAAACCAATTGTTTCGTTCAGCATCTACAAAATTCTAACTTCTCCTTGAGTTTCTGCGAAAGTATGCCCAAATAATACCAGGTACAGGTAGTCCTCGACGTACGACCACAGTCAAGCCCCTAATTTATGTTTTTAAGCAGGGGTGAAATGCTCCCGGTTTGGACCGGATCGCCTGATCCAGTAGCGACGGAGGTGGATGATTCAGAGAACCGGTAGCAAAAATCCCTGCCCCCGCCCCATTGACCGGCTGAGCCGCGCAATCATCAGAGGCTTTTTTTTAATTTTTAAAAGCATTTTTTCTACAACCTCTTCGGCCGAAAAAATGCTTTTAAAGGTTAAAAAAAAAAAAAGCCTCTGATGATCATGTGGCTCAGCTGGGATCATCAGAGGCTTTTAAAAGCATTTTTTCTACAACCTCTTTGGCCGAAGAGGTTATAGAAAAAATGTTTTTAAAAGGAAAAAAAAGCCTCTGCCGATCAGGCAAGTCAGCTGGCTTTAAAAGCATTTTTTTTACAACCTCTTCAGCCAAAGAGGTTGTAGAAAAAATGCTTTTAAAATTAAAAAAAAAAAAAGTTGGCCACGCCCACTCAGTCCTTACCCCCCCCACCAAGCCACGCCCACAGAGCCAGTAGTAACAAATTTTACATTTCACCACTGTTCTTAAGTGAGATGTTTGTGAAGTGAATTTTGCCCCATTTTACGGCATTTCTTGTTAAGGGAATCACTGCAGTGGATAAGTTCGCGACCCAGTTAGTGATAAGTCAATTGGCTCCCCATTGACTTTGCTTGTCAGGAGGTCACCAAAAAAAGGGGATCGTGTGATCACTCCGGGACGCTGCACAACGGTTGTAAGTATGAACCACTTGCCAAGTGTCTGAATTTGGATCTCATGGGGATGCCGCAAAGGTCGTAACTGTGAAAAACGGTTCTAGGACACTTTTTCCAGTACTGTCGTAACTTCGAACAGTCGCTCAATGACCTGTTGTAAGTCGAGGACTGCCTGTAGTGCACGTTGTGTTTGGTGATTAATTTCAAACGTGATTTTATGTACTTAAACACAACTCTGTTGCGTGGTGATAGTCTACATGCCTTTGCTCTTAGGCCAATGGTGGGTTATGCCATCTTTCCACTATAGAAAAAAAAGACATAGATTGGGCAGTAATGTACACACAAACACACACACACACACACACACACACACACACGGACTTTAGAATCATGTGACATGTTCAGGCTATGTATACTAGGAAGTGCAGATGTAGGGGAAGGAGTGACAGAACCTGGGGGTGGAGTGAAAAGAGGAATCAGCTTAGAATCCCTACGTAGTCACAAGCAGACTCCAGCCAACTTCTCTGCAAGTACATGGCTGAACTTCAAGTGCTCAGCAACACAATCACATCTGTTTGCGGCATCCTATGATCGCCCGATCACTGTTTACGATGGGGTCCAGCTCTTATTTCATGTTCTGCCCCAGCTATGGACCCCAAAGAACACAGCACACACAAACTCTATACAAAGCTTATTTTACTCAAATAACTTAGTCTTTATCAACCAAAGGCTGTTAATAAACTGTCTTAACAGCCTACCAGAATTCTAAGATAAAGTAATCACAGTCTTACTAGAGTTGGCAGAAAGCCCAAAACAATTTTGCAGAGAATCCAGACGCGAAGGAGATTGAACTAAAGTTGTTCCCTCCAGCTTGCTGCAAGTGGCGTTCCTCCTTAAATAGGCTAAGGGAGTGGCCAATTAGCCCCAAGCCTTACTCTCAAGGAGACCTCCTCCTGAGGAGCCACTCCTGCTTTTTAACAGCTCTGCGTGCTCGTGCATCGAGAAGAGGCTCCTCCTCTTCGTCCTCTTCACTTAAAGGAGCTTCTGGAGGTTCTGAAGGCCCTGGCTGAATCCCTGCCTCTGGCACCACATCTTCTCCAGCCTCCTCACTGTCCGACTCGAGCGCCAGCTGCACAGGCTGCTGGCGCAGCACCACACCAGCCTCCTCATTGTCAGAATCAGCTACAATCTGCACAGGCCGCTGACGGGCCACAGCATTTCAACCATGCCCAGAGCAAACCATGGGGTTTTGCTTAACAACGGCTGCATTCTCTTTAACAACGGTGGCATTTGCTTCGTGACCTCATCAGCTGGTGAACGACGATCCAAACAGGCCACAAAATCAGGCAGGCTCCATTACAGTCGTATGTGGAGGACTACCTCATTTAGGAGACCCTACTCACTCTAAAGCCATGTATATGTCTTAAGGAGTAATAGCAATTGTCTTTCTTGGTGTGAGCAAGTGAATGTTTGAACATTCTACTATAATCCACTAGTTTTCTGTGTCAAGCATGCATTGAGTTTTTTTGGGGTATTCCTGTCTGACTTGAAAGTGTTAAGTTTTTATATGTCTTATCTTGTTGCCCTTGGTATATTCTTGTGCATCTGGCTTTTGCATTGTTGGGATGCCTGAAGACCGCAGTCGAAGTGCCAGTGAGCCCATCTTAGGTACAGTAGAACCCGCATGCCTTACCTGTGCCAAGTTTTAAGAGCTGCGAATGCCCAGCCGTCAGTCATGCATGGCCCTTGACCACGTCTTCTCCTGGCCTACAAGCTTCATCCCTCCCCTTATCGTTCAACTCTCCCGCTCGGTTTACTAAGACCGGATGTTTTTGGAGATTCTTTCCCAGGCGTGCGCAGAATATTTTGATGTCGGAATATCCTCCAGAAGTTGTGAATGCTCCAACACTGGAAGTTTTTAAGAAGAGGTGGGATAACCGTTTGTCTGAAGTGGTGTTGGGTTTCCTGCCTAAGCAGGGGGTTGGACTAGAAGACCTCCAAGGTCCCTCCCAACTCTGTTATTCTATTCTAGTCTATCCTGACTTCTGAAATGTTCTCCTCGCTTCCTTGGAAAGACTCTGAATTTGAAAGAGTCACCAGGAAGGCATCTATGGAGTGGTGCGGTAGCCTCGAGGAGGCTGTGAGTTCGATCCTAGGTAGAGGCAGATATTTCTCTCTCTGGGCACGTTGAGATTATATCTGCTGAATATAACTCCACACTGGCGACAAGCAGGACATCCGGTCAGTAAACAGCTCCATTCAGTTGCCCAGACTCCACCTCGCAAGGGATTACGGGTTCATTAAAAGATGATTATGATGATCAGAAAGGCATCTATGGAGGTGCTCGATCATTCAGGCCATAGTTGTCCCAAAGGTGCTGTTTTTTCCCAAAAGGCCTTTCTTGTTTTTTTTTTTTGTTTGTTTTGTTTTTTGTCTTTGAAAACATTTCACTTCTCATCCAAGAAGCTTCTTCAGCTTTGGATGAGACGGGACATGTTTTCTTTCTTTCTTTCTTTCTTTCTTTCTTTCTTTCTTTCTTTCTTTCTTTCTTTCTTTCTTTCTTTCTTTCTTTCTTTCTTCCTTCCTTCCTTCCTTCCTTCCTTCCTTCCTTCCTTCCTTCCTCTTTCTTTCTTTTTTTTTTCTTTCTTTTTCTTTCTTTCTTTCTTTCTTTCTTTCTTTCTTCCCTTTTGGGAGAAGGGCGGTATACGAATTAAAAAATTAAATTAAATTAAATTAAATTTCTTTCTTTCTTTCTTTCTTCCTTCCCTTCCTTCCTTCCTTCCTTCCTTCCTTCCTTCCTTCCTTCCTCCCTTTCCATCTTTCTTTCTTCCCTTCCTTCCTTTTCTTTTATTTGTTTAATTATATAAAATACAAACAAAAATAGAAATAGGAAATTAAGGGAAGGAGAAAGGAAGGAAGGTGTGAGATACAAGACATTAGCTTCCGACTCTTCTTAGTACAAGATAAAAACACTCCAGCCTCAACTTTTTCACTTTTACACATTAATATATAACTAGCCATTTCTATAACATCAAATCTATCTGATCAGTGAGAACAATCAGCCCATGGAACAGAAATTGCCTTCGGAAGTTGTGGGAACTTCATCCCTGGAGACTTTCAAGAAGAGACTGGACTGCCATCTTGTTGTGACCAAGGCCCAAGTAGTGATTACCAAACACAATTTAGTCCTCAACAAACTTATTTTATTAAAACAGCTGAGAATTCATTCATTCTCAGCTTAGTCCAAAACAAAATTCTTCATAACCAGTCCTTCGGCCTTATCACCAACCTTTGATGTCTTTGGCAACCGGCCAAAGCTTTTCTTGGCAAACCCCCCACAAAGTTCAAGAGACGCTGACAAGAAGCACTGGAATCAATGTCGCTTTTCTACAAAGAACCCAATGGCTCGTTGCTGCTCTTTTAAGCCTTATGGGAGGGGCCAATCATCTTCTGGCCTTACTCCTGAGTCGTCCTTTTTGCTTCAGCTGCTTTTGACTTCTGGCGCACTAGGAACAGGCTCCTCCTGTTCCTCTGCCTCTCTGCTGTCCAACTCTGGAGGCTCCGAAATCCACACATCGCTCCCAGATGGCCCTGGCTCCATCTCTGCCTCCGATGCAGAGCCCTCCCCAGACTCCAGGACTGGCCCATGTTCTTCCCCAGCCTCCTCACTGTCTGACTCCGTTGCCAGGTCTGCAGGCTGCTGGCGGACCACAACACATCTGTCAGAAATGGTGTAGGGTCTCCTGCTTGGGCTTGGGGTTGGACTAGATGACCTACAAGGTCCCTTCCAACTCTTTTAATCTGTTAAACTATAGTCCTGGTATTTTTTATGGTCTTGATTCTAGGTCCCAATCGTGACCTTGCTTAGTTTCAAAACTTGGAGAAGTTCAACTAGATGTTATCACTCCAACCAACATTAATATACCGCTGAAGTCAACTCAGCCAAGCTCATCTTCTCCAAACGGGCCATTCTGATTTTGACGTGGACTGTTCTGAGGACCCAATGGTGCTTTTTTCAAAAGACAACTGTACTTCAGAACTGATGAAGCTTCTTGGATGAGAAGCGAAACATTTTCAAAGAGGAACAAACAAACGAGAAAGTCCAGTTGCGTTTTGGAAAAGCCTATTTGGGACAACTGTGACCCAGATGACTGAGAATCTCCATAGGTCATCTCCGTTCTGATGACTCTTTCAAATTCAAAATATTTACAGGGAGTTATTGATGAGCATTTCAGAAATCAGGATATTCTGGCTTCAAAATATTCTGCACAGGTCCGTAAAGGCAAAGGGTAGATGTGTTTCTAGATGTCATTCATAGAACAAGAACCAAATATACTTCTGGAAAAGGCCATTCTTGGCATAACCAGTTGCTTCGTGAGCCAATCTTCTATTATGCTCCTAAAAATTATTTCCATTTAAGGCAGTTTTAGTGAGAACAAAAAAAGTGAGAACAAAATAATAATAATAATTTGAATGACCTTTCAAATAATTAGCCTTTGCAATGGATTTTCTGATATATGTATATATTATACAAGATAGAACACAACAATAATATCTTTTATTTGAATGTTTATACTTTTCTGTTGCCGATACAGGTAATCCTTGATTTACAAAAGTTCATTTAGTGACCATTCTAAATTACAATGGCACTGAAAAAAAGAGACTTATGGCCGTTTTTCACACTTAACGACCGTTGCAGCATGATCAAATAAATAAATAAATAAATAAATCAGACGCTTGGCAACCGATTCGTATTTATGACGGCTGCAATTTATGACGGGGTCGTGTAATCCCGTTTTGCGACATTCTGACAAGGAAGGTCCATGTTAACAATCGTGTTAACAGTCTCAACTGCAGTGACTCTTTTAAGAACTAGGGCAAGAGCCTCGGTGGTGCAGCGGACTAAAGTGCTGTTAAGTGCTAGCACTTAGCTGCCAGCTGCCTGCAATTAGTGCAAGTTCGAATCTCACCAGGCTCAAGGTTGACTCAGCCTTCCAACCTTTCGAGGTAGGTAAATTGAGGACCCGGATTGTGGGGGCAATAAGCCGACTTTATATAGAACAACACCGCTTAAGGGGGGCCAAAAGCCCTACTAAGCAGGTATATACAAAAGTATGAAGGCTATTGCTTAACGCATTGTAAGCCGCCCTGGGTCTACGGAGAAGGGCGGCATATAAATTGGACAAATAAATAAATAAAGAAAGAAAGATTGTAAAATGGGGCAAAATCTCACTGAACAACTGTCTCACTTAGCAACAGACTTTTGGTCGTAAGTTGAGTACTACCTGTAGAGCATTCAACCTAGCTTGCATCAAAGGATTGCATTTCAATCCATGGTCTTCCGTACTTGCTCTCTAAGGGGCCATTTGAGCACAAGTAGATTTAACTGGAAGGGACATGGTGGCTCAGTGGCTAAGGCGCTGAGTTTGCCGATTGAAAGGTCGGCAGTTCAGCGGTTCGAATCCCTAGTGCCGCGTAACAGGGTGAGCTCCCATGACTTGTCCCAGCTTCTGCCAACCTAGCAGTTCGAAAGCACGTAAAAATAAATGCAAGTAGAAAAATAGGGACCACCTTTGGTGGGAAGGGAACAGCATTCCGTGCGCCTTTGGCATTGAGTCATGCCAGCCACATGACCACAGAGACGTCTTCGGACAGCGCTGGCTCTTCGGCTTTGAAACGGAGATGAGCACCGCCCCCTAGAGTCGGGAACGACTAGCACAAATGTGCGAGGGGAACCTTTTTACCTTTACCTAGATTTAACTGAATGAAGATTCTGAGATAAGGATCTTCAAGGATCATTGTTTGCATTTCATCTTATCCGTTGCTCCTTCGCTTTCCTTGCTTCCTTTCCAAGCTAACCATTGTTGCTTTGGGCTGTTTGTGAAATACGTGAATGTGTTGACTGCTTAGAGATGCTTGCATGGTAGTTTGTGAAAAATTCGCTTGGCATGCTGGAGAATTGTCTTGTGTGAAGTGTCCTTTCTGTATTGTGGGGGCAGGCAAATGCCTTATGAAGTCATCACCCCCCAAAAAATCGGTCCGAGCTTTTTTTTCTTTATTTAAGCAATGGTACCTATTGGAGGTGTGCAAAGTATTTCCAACATTTTGTATGTATTGTTTTTGTAGGTAGGTAAGTACGTAGGTAGGAGGGAAAGAAGAAGAAAAGGAAGGAAGGAAGGAAAACACTGTTAAGGGAAGGAGGAGAAAGAGGGAAGGAGAAGGAAGGAAGAAAGGACACTGATGAGGAAGGAGAAGGAAGGAAGAAAGGAAAAGGAAGACGGAAGGAAGGAAAGAAGGAAGGAAGGAAAAACACTGATCAAGGAAGGAAGGAAAGAAGGACACTGATAAGGGAGGGAGAGAAAGAGGAAGGGAGGGAGGAAAGGAGGGAGGGAGGAAAAACACTGATAAGGGAGGGAGGGAGGAGAAGGAGGAAGGGAAGGAAGGAAGGAAAAACTGATAAGGGAAGGATGGAAGGAAAGAAGGACTGATAAGGGAGGGAAAGAAAGAGGAAGGGAGGGAGGAAAGGAGGGGAAGGAGGAAAAACACTGATAAGGGAGGGAGGAGAAGAAAGGAAGGGAAGGAAGGAAAAACTGATAAGGGAAAGAAGGAAGGAAGAAGACACTGATAAGGGAGGGAGAGAAAGAGGAAGGGAGGGAGGAAAAACACTGATAAGGGAAGGAGGAGAAGAAAGGAGGAAGGGAAGGAAGGAAAAACTGATAAGGGAAGGAAGGAAGGAAAGAAGGACTGATAAGGGAGGGAGAGAAAGAGGAAGGGAGGAAGGAAAGGAGGGAGGAAAAACTGATAAGGGAGGGAGGAGAAGAAAGGAGGAAGGGAAGGAAGGAAGGAAAAGCTGATAAGGGAAGGAAGGAAAAATAGGAAAGAAGGACACTGATAAGGGGGAGAGAGAAGGAAGGAAGGAAGGAAGGAAGGAAGGAAGGAAGGAAGGAAGGAAGGAAGGAAGGAAGGAAGGAAGGAAGGGCAAATAATGTAATTGATCATTAGTACTTCAACCAATTATCCAAAATTGCACATTGTAACCAAGATTGTGGAGATGGAATAAACGTAGCTTTTACAGTCCTCGTTTGTTTATACCACAGTGATTGTTCAAAATACGCAGAGGGTAGACGGTTGTAAAAAAAAAGACACACTTTTTTTTGACACAACGTAGGGTGAAGCAACTGATTTGAAGGCAGGGATCATTCAGGGCCTACCTACGTTAACTTTTTCTTGATATTTCTGGACATTCCTCATCCATACGATCACCACCCACACTACGAAAATAAATTCTACGCGTTCTTGCCCTGAGTTTGCTCCACGCTAAATTTACTCCATACATTGATAATAAAAGAGAATTGGACCAAAATAAAAATAAAGCGAGGCGTAATACAGAGAATCTGTTGTGAGGCTTTGAAAATCGAGCGGTTAATTAATTGCTTAAAAGGAAGATAACAATAAACTTCTTTGTCGACTATGGTTCGCTTGGCACGACACAGAAGCGGCCTTTATTAAAGGTTATCTCTCCAATTCAGGACGGAGACTTGATGTAAAGGCGATGAACGGATACTTAATTGAGATTTCCTTCTATTTAATAGCAGAGACTGAGAAAGAATCCCCTGATCACTTAGATCTAGCTGGCTTTCCTCGTCCATCCAAAGGTGCAGAAGGTGGACCTCTTACTCCGCCTTCTCCTGACTCCAAGAAGAAAGCGAGAGGGATCAAGAAGCTGTTTGGCAGGTAATGAGGATGTCATTCTCCAAAAACGTGATCCTGGATGGAGCTCACCGGGCATACTTTACTTCTAGTGCAACGCTCGCGTGCCCACAGATACGGCTCTGCGTGCCACATGTTCGCCATCACGGGACTCGGTATTGCTATCTGTTAATGTTCTCCGCAATCCCTTAATTCCTCCCGTTCTTCAAATTTGGATTTTTTTCCCCCACCCCTTAGACTAAGAAGAAGCCAGTCCACCACATTTAATCCTGATGAGATGACGGAAACCGAGTTCAAAAGAGGAGGAACGAGAGCGACGGCTGGTCCAAGGCTTGGCTGGTCAAGAGACTTTGGGCAATCGAATAAGTAAGACGGAAGGATCGAAGTGACACAGAAACTCTTTCTTTTCTCTTTTGTTTCTCTTCCTTATGACGCTCGAGTGCAGCTGGGCGAGTTGGATTGCGGAAATAAAAGGAAGTCGTTTTATGGGTTACGGATAAAAAGTTGGGTCTTTTTAGAGTTGGGCCATTATTAAGACAAAGGATAGGATAAGAGGGGTCCTGGCTTTCCCGAACTTCTGGTAGGCCCGGTTTTTGCCCTCCCTGAGCCTCCGCGTGCGCCCTGCACTTACCTGCATCCAAAACGGGCTGCGTGGGGACTCCTGGGAGTGGGCGGAATGGGCGGGGCCAGCCAGGAGTGGGATTTGGGGGTTCTCCAAACAGCACAGAATTTTAGCTAGAGGTTCTCCCAAACCCCTGCAAAACCCCATCAGCCCCACCCCTGGAATGGACCTTAGGCAGGTCCCACCATTAGCAGGTCTCTGAGGACATAAGTATTCAACCTTGAAACATGATCTGATTGTTACTATTCCTTTAGTGATCTGGACATGCCGTTTGCTAAATGGAGGAAAGAGCAAGTTTGCAGCTGGCTTCAGGACCAGGGCCTGGGTTTTTACATCGGCAATGGAAAACACTGGATACTCTCCGGTCAGACTCTCTTGCAAGCATCCCAGAGTGATTTAGAAAAGGTAACACACTTATATTTTTCTCCCTCATATGCAGTTGACTGAGAGTTGTGGGGTCCTTGGTGCTCTCGGAGGTGGGTTGCCTTCTTGCAGACGTTTTATGACCCATCTAGGGAACATCATCAGTGTTGATGAGGTTACCTAATCAGGTCTGCAAGAAAAGAATCTACCTCAGAGAGAACCAAGGACCCCACAATTCAACCCTGAGCTACAAATATTCTCTTCTGCTGGTGACTTGAGAGATGTAATGAAGTTCAGCTAAGTAGCAATTCATCTACCATCTGGTACTCATGTTTGATAACAAGGGCTGCCATCTTGTGTCCATAAGATAGATGTATGTATGTATCTATGTATGTATCAGGGGTGGGTTCTACTTACCTTTACTACCGGTTTGCAATGGGAACGCATGCGCACTTCTGCACATGCGCAGATTGTCAATTATGACATCTGGGCGGGTGGGCGGAGCCTCCTGCCACTTTTACTACTGGTTCGCAAGAACCGGACAGAACTGGGAGCAACCCACCACTGGTATGTATGTATGTATGTATGTATGTATGTATTTTTTTTTCTGACTCCAGAAGATCTTACATTAAAAATAGAAAATATGATATTAAGAATTAGTATACTAGTTTAAATAAAGGAAATTTCAGTAACTATATAGCAAACACAAACAATTAAAACACAGAAGGAATTTAATTATATATGTAAATGTGTGTGTGTGATGTACACACCGAGGTGGCGCAGTGGTTAGAGTGCTGTACTTCAGCTGACTGCTAGTTCAGCTGACTGCTAGTTCAGCAGATCAGCGGATCAAATCTCACCGGCTCAAGGTTGACTCAGCCTTCCATCCTTCCGAGGTGGGTAAAATGAGGACTCAGATTGTTGGGGGCAATATGCTATTTAGTATACTGTCGATTGTTGTAAGCCGCCCAGAGTCCTCGGAGAGTGGGCGGCATAGAAATATGACTAATAAAATAAATAATAAATAAAATAAATGTATGTGTGTATATATATATATACACACACACAAATATCAACTTGCAACCACAATTGAGCTCAGCTATTTAAAATTAGTATACTAGTTTAAGTAAAGTAAATTTCAATAACCGTATAGAAAATACAAAAAAATTAAAACACAGAAGGAATTATATATCAAAGAAACCCCCCCCCAAAAAACTGCTAATAAACTCCAATGCTTTTTATAACAGGGAATGAAAAGCGTTGGTTCTCTGAATCAAGCATTTGGCCATTAGAAACGTCCTATTTATAGATCTGTTTCATAAAGTTGCCCTCGTTTGCATTTATAGGATGCTTTGAACAGAAAGATTAATGTTTATAAAAAGACGTTTTGTGCCCCATGTGCAGGAACTTGGAATAAAACATCCGCTACATCGGAAAAAGCTACAACTTGCACTTCAAGCTTTGGGGTCTGAAGAAGAAAACAATTACGGGAAACTGGATTACAATTGGGTTACAAGTATGTTCCCTTCCCTTATGTTTTTTTAAAATTTCCCCTTTTGCTTTGTTTTCCAAGTTTTAGAGAGGATTTACAGATGTACCCACCTCGTACTATCACAAGAATATTTGTATATATTGAACAACATGTTGGTTGCACAATCAGCTAATTGTTTAGTCTGGATTTGGTGTTTTTATCCACCTCTCGAGTCTTGTTATGACTACATCTGCTTATCCTAGCTTCTTGGTGAGCTTGGTAACTCGTTTAACCCAAAGGTGCTTTTTTTCCCAAGAGGCAACTTGATGTTCTGGTTTTTCTTTGAAGACGTTTCGCTTCTTATTGAAGAAGCTTCTTCAGCTCTGACTGGATGGTGGTTGCCTCTTGGAAAAAAAAAAAAATCTTTGGGATCCCAATTAAGGAACTTCCAAACAAGCTAAGAGTAAATAGCCCAACCAAAGAATCTCTTCTTCTGACAGCACTGACAGGGCATGACAATAGAATATAAACTGAGAGCAAACCTCCCTCCTTATTAGCACTGATGGTGTTATCTAGTTTGGTAATGAAATGTTTACAAGGAAGCAAAAAAGCTCAGAGACCATCAACAGCCTCTTACTCCTCTTCTTCCTCCTCCTCCTCCTTTCCCCTTTCTCTTCCTCCTCCACTCTGCAAACTCCTCTCCTTACTAGCACTGATGATGTTATCTAGCTTGGTAATGAAATGTCTGCAAGAAAACAACCAAGCTCAGAGAGCATCAAGGACCCCCCCCCCCACAGTCGTCGTCCTCCTCTTCTTCCTCCATCTCCTACCCTCAAAACGAGGCTATAGAGCACTGCACACCAGAACAACTAGACACAAGAACAGTTTTTCCCTGAATGCCATCACTCTGCTAAACAAATAATTCCCTCAACACTGTCAAACTATTCACTCAGTCTGCATTACTATTACTATTAGTCTTCTCATCATTCCTATCACCCATCTCCTCCCATTTATGACTGTATGACTGTAACTTGTTGCTGGTATCCTTAAGATTTATATTGACTGTTTCCTTATGACTATCACTAAGTGTTGTACCTTATTATTGATGAACGCATCTTTTCTTTTATGTACACCGAGAGCTTATGCACCAAGACAAATTCCTTGTGTGTCCAATCACACTTGGCCAATAAAGAATTCTATTCTATTCTATTCTATTCTATTCTATTCTATTCTATTCTATCTCTACTCTACTCTACTCTACTCTACTCTACTCTACTCTATTATTCTCTACTCTACTCTACTCTACTCTACTCTACTGCACTCTACTCTATTCTACCCTACTCTACTCTACTCAATTCCATTCCATTCCATTCTATTCTACTCTACTCTATTCTACTGTATTCTACTCTACTCTATTCTAGTCTAGTCTAGTCTATTATTCTCTACTCTACTCTACTCTACTCTACTCTACTCTACTCTACTCTACTCTACTCTACTCTACTCTACTCTATTCTATTCTATTCCTCCCCTTCTCCTTCTTCTCCTCTTCCTCCTCCACTCTGCAAACACCACTTCTTACTAGCACTGATGATGTTACCTAGTTTGGTAATGAAACGTCTGCAAGAAAACAACCAAGCTCAGAGAGCACCAAGGACCTCTCACAGAAGACATTTCATCACCCATGACGTTTCATTGGTTCATCTGCATTTGTAGGAAGCCATTTTTATTTTTCTTCTGTTTCTAGGATGGCTGGACGACATTGGGCTGCCCCAGTATAAGACACAATTCGACGAAGGCAAAGTGGATGGGCGAATGCTTCACTACATGACCGTTGTAAGCAGCTTAATTGTTGTGTCACTGACAGTATGGTCCTCCACGTACGACCATCATTGAGCCCACAATTTCTGTTGCTAAGTGAGATGGATGTCAGATTACTTTTGTTCCATTTTATGGCCTTTCTCACCACCTTTGTTATAAGTGAATTGCCATAGTTATTAAGTCACTCACACGGTTGTTAAATTAATCTGGATTCCCCCCCCCCCTTAACTTTGCTTGTCAGAAGGTCGCAAAAGGGAATCACGTGAACCTGGGACACTGCGACCGTCATAAATACGAAGCAGTTGTCAAGCCGCTTTTTGCAGGGCCGTTGTAACTTTGAACCAGGGGTGAAATCCAACGGGTTCTGACAGGTTCTGGCAAACCGGTAGCGGAAATTTTGAGTACTTGGGAGAACCGGCAAATGCCACCTCTGGCTGGCCCCAGAGTGGGGTGGGAATGGAGATTTTGCAATATCCTTCCCCCAGGAACGGGGTGGGAATGGAGATTTTGCAATATCCTTCCCCTGGAGTGGGGAGGGAATGGAGATTTTTACAGTATCCTTCCCTTGCCATGCCCACCAAGCACGCCCACCAAGCAATGCCACGCCCACCAAACAATGCCATGTCCACCAAGCCACGCCCACAGAACTGGTAGTAAAAAAAATTGGATTTCACCACTGCTTTGAACGGTCCCTAAATGAACTGTTGTAAGTCCAGGACTACTTGTAGTAGATTAATGCAACTTTTCCCTCCAATACCTGATTGTGGCTTTGTCGTTGTCGGTTCATTCTTGGTGCCCACATCTGCAGGATGACTTGTTGTCTTTGAAAGTTTTGAGTGTCCTTCACCACCTGAGCATCAAACGAGCCATTCAGGTCCTCCGAGTGAACAACTTTGAACCCAACTGTCTGCGCAGGAGACCATCTGATGAGGTAGACACCCGTAATATTCAAATGTGAAATTTATTCAAGGTCATCCTTCATTATAATGACTTTTTTGGCAGGTAATTTTAGATCGGCAGTTCAGCGGTTCGAATCCCTAGTGCCACGTAACTTCTTTCAGCCTCTGAAATCTCTGTTTGCAAGGCTGGGCAAGACTCCATTCAGAGTATAAGTCGCACCCAGATTTTCACCCTCTTTTTTTGGGGGGAAAAGGTTCGTCTTATACTCCAAAAAATACGGTATGTTGTAACATTGAGGTTAAAGGAATGGAAAACTGCCCCCTGTTGCTGGGACAGTGTGGACAGATCTCGAAAGTCACACAATTTGTGGTTTTAAGGTATAAAAGACAAAGTTGAATAATGGGAGGTTACCAATCGGCCTCAAGCCATCCCTTTTGACGGCTTGTCCAATTGACCCTCATTGCAACGTGATTAATGTAAGTGGTTTGCATTTGCTATGCTTTAAATTCTAATAAACCCCTGCATCCTGAAGTGGGACTTTTGTGAGACTTTTAATGACACTTAATTATCATTAAGTGCAGCTATGCTCATAATTGTTGTGGCTCCGTTGCCTGAGCCTGGGCTATCGACAGATGCAGACTCTGAGAGTGAGGGAGAGGAGTTGGCAAGGCCTCACTCTCCAGGGCCCTCCTCTCTGGCAATGCCTCTGGAGGACACCGAAGGCCAAACGATAGGCTCAGAGCCAAGCACGTCCCTGCAGCCACAGGTGGACAGCGATGAAGAAGATAAGTGCTGGCTGGACCCGCGACAGAGGCGCAGGGAGAAGCGTGCGCAGCAGAAGGGAAGGCGTGCCAGAGATTAGCTGAGTCACTGGACCACACCCCACAGGGTATAAATGTGGGTGTGGTGGCCGGTTCAGTTTGTGATGAGCAAAAACTGGAAATACTCCATGATCTCTGTGTTACTGGACTTTGCCTGCTTTATCGGGCTGCATTTGGATTAATCCTTGTATTGTTGACACTCTGCCTGTTTTATCGGAATGCTGGCAGTCTAATCTTTGTTTTGTGTGAGTAAAGTCTGAATTGGCAGCTAGCCACTGGGTTGCTGCCAGCTTTATCTTCAAAGAGTTTTGTTGTGTGGCTTATTAACTCTGGGGGTGCGTGTGGGGTATGGGGACAGAACAATAATTGGGTTTTCCCCCTGACAATAGCCTATGGTGTAATATAAGCAGAATGAATGAACAAATGAACGAACGAACGAACGAACGAATGAATGAATGTTTTAATTTATTGTATTTTTGGTTGTCAGAATAACATCACCCCGTCAGAAGTTTCTCAATGGACCAATCATCGAGTAATGGAATGGTTGCGTTCTGTTGATCTGGCTGAATATGCTCCTAATTTAAGAGGAAGCGGAGTTCACGGTGGTTTAATGGTAATTTTTATATCTTTTTCTTAGTCGATGGCTTGGATCGTATTTAGGTTGGTGCATGGCATCCCCCGGAAGTCCTAGGATTTCCATCTTGAGGTTTTTTTTTTTGCAAATCGACTGGCATTTGTGGATGAGAAGGTACCGGATGCACAAGTTTTGAAATCTCGTTTTCGTGGCGCAGGTTCTGGAACCTCGTTTCAACGTAGAGACTTTGGCGCAGCTGCTTAACATCCCACCAAACAAGACGCTGCTGAGACGGCACTTGGCCACTCATTTCAATTTGCTGGTTGGAAGCGAAGCTCAACAGGAAAAACGCGAAGCCATGGAAGCTCCCGATTACGTCCTTCTCACAGCTACCGCCAAAGTGAAGGTATTGGGAGAAGAATTTTTTGTTTCTAGCTTATCTCAATTTGGGGAATCGATGTAAAAGGTGACCAGGCCGAGACTGAGGGTGGGGTGAAACGTGTCATCAGTTTGAAATCGCTACGCTCCAAAACAGTCCCTGTGAATTCTGTTGATTCTTATTGAATGCCAATTGGCCTTGATTGTTAGTCGATCAGGTTCTTGTCAGTAGGTAGCATGAAACTAGTAATAATTTTGAACTCTGTCATGGCGCCTGGTTTCTTGTGCCTGACAATGTGGCTCAGTGGTTAGAATGCAGTATTGCAGGCTAACTCATTGTTCACTGCCAAGAGTTCGATCCTGACTGGCTCAAGGTTGACTCAGCCTTCCATCCTGCTGTGGCCGGTAAAATGAGGACCCAGATGTTGGGGGCAAGAGGCTGACTCTGTAAACTGTTTAGAGAGGGCTGTAAAGCGCTTTGAAGTGGTATATAAGTACATTAGTATCCCTCCCTCCCTCTCCATTTTCTTCGTCCCTTCTTCTCCTTCCTTCCTTCCTTCCTTCCTTCCTTCCTTCCTTCCTTCCTTCCTTCCTTCCTTCCTTCCTTCCTTCCTTCAAAGTTCTTTTGGAATTGCTAGTCAGGGCTAAGGTTTTCCAGAGAATGCAGGAATGTGAGGACGGTACCTATCTGGAATTTTTTAAATACCGTTGAGGTTTTCCCACATATGCTTGTCCCAGAGGTGGGTTTCAGCAGGTTCTGACCAGTTCTGTAGAACCGGTAGCGGAGATTTTGAGTAGTTTGGAGAACTGGTAAATACCACCTCTGACTGGCCCCACTCCCATCTAGTCTCTGCCTCCCTAGTCCCAGCTGATCGGGAGGAAATGGGGATTTTGCAGTAACCTTCCCCTGGAGTTGGGAGGGAAAGGAGATTTTACAATATCCTTCCCCTGCCATGTCCACCAAGCCACACCCACCAAGCCTTGCCACGCCCACCAAGCCACACCCACAGAACCAGTAGTAAAAAAATTTCAAACCCACCACTGGCTTGTCCTCAAAATTTGCTGCACGATCTCAGAAAAAACTGCTACTCCTATACATCTCTCATTCTGGCCTCAATTGCGGTCGTAACCCGAGGACTACCTGTGCTGAAGACTTTGCTGGGCTTTTCTCTTTCAGCCAAAGAAACTCGCCTTCAGTAACTTTGGGAATTTGAGGAAGAAAAAGCAAGACGACGGGGGAGAAGAGTACGTGTGCCCTATGGATTTGGGTCAGGCGGCAGGAACCGGATCCAAGAAAGGCTTTAAACCGGGTTTAGATAACAGAGTTTATGACGATGATGATCTGGACAGATTGGAAGAGGTATTTCGGGTTAAAACAGAACGATTCGTGGGCTGTCCGTCACGCTCTGTCTTTTTTGTTTTAATTTTATTTTTATTTATACATTTTTCTTTAACATTTATAAGTATTTAGTAAAGGGCGTATTGTCTGAGTCATCATACATACATACATACATACATACATACATACATACATACATATATTTTCTCAGGTTTTCGCGGGTGTTTTTATGTAGGTCTTTGGTTATTCGGGTCTTCTCCCACGTAAAATTGGAAGTGTCTTGGCGATGTTTCGACAAAGTCTCATTCGTCATCTTCAGGCTGGTGTTCTCGGCTTCGTGCTTCCAGGAGCAATGTGAGATCGCAGCTGTCTCTTCCTTTTAACTGTTAATCATCCAATCAGAGCACAGCCAAGCCCCTAACCAATCAGAACACACCTCCACCCAATCAGAACACAGCCAAGTTCCCACCCAATCAGCTCACACCCCCACTAGCAGTTAAAAGGAAGAGACAGCTGCGATCTCACATTGCTCCTGGAAGCACGAAGCTAAGTTAAAAAATATTCTTTGTCCTTTAATGTTAACCTGTTCTGTCCCAGCTACGGACCCCAAGGAACACAGCACACACAAAGTCTGTTCAAACCTTAGTTTACTAAAATAAAATCAGGGGTTTTTTTTACAAACAAGGTTGTAAAACGCGGCACTCGGGATTCGAGCCGCTGAACTGTCGACCTTTCGATCGACAAGCTCAGCGTCTTAGCCACTGAGCCACTGCGCCCATGTCTATAGAGATTCTCAATTATCCATTTTATGGTGATCCCAAAAATGCTTTTCAAAAAAGGCACCTGGTCTTTCTTGGTGGTTGTTCCTTAAAAACATTTAGCTTCTCGTGCAAGAAACTTTCGTGCGTTTACGGATGTGCGAAAAGCTCCATCAATCCAAGGTTTTATATTTCTCGCCTTTCCTTAATCGAGCACTGCCTAAACTTCAAGAATAGGTGTCCAATTTTAGCATTTACGTTCGTGAACACAGTTATATTATATAATACAGGATTTATATGAATATCACCCTATTATTTTTCCTTCCTTGTAGATGGAAGATTCCGAAGGGACCGTGAGGCAGATTGGAGCGTTTTCTGAAGGCATCAACAACTTGACTGTAAGTCATTGTTTAATTGATACAGTCCACTAGTCCTTCTGTCTTAAGAACTATGCAGAACTTCTTTCTTTCTTTCTTTCTTTCTTTCTTTCTTTCTTTCTTTCTTTCTTTCTTTCTCTTTCCTTCCTTCCTTCCTTCCTTCCTTCCTTCCTTGTTTCCTTCTTTTTTCTTTCTTTCTTTGTCTCTCTTTTCTTTTTCTTTCCCTCCCTCCCTCTCTTTCTTTCTTTCTTTCTTTCTTTCCTTCCTTCCTTCATTTTCTTTTTCTTTGTCCCTCTCTTTTCTTTTTCTTTCTTTCCCTCCCTCTCTTTTTCTTTCTTTCTTTTCTTTCTCTTTCCTTTTTCCTTTTTTCCTTCATTCTTTCCTTCCTGCCTTCTTTCCATTTTCTTTCTTTGTCTCTCTCTTTTTTCCTTCCTTCCCCTCCCCCTTCCTTTCCTTCTTTCTTTTCCTTCCTTCTCCTTTCTTCTTTCCTTCTTTCCTTCCTTCCTTCCTTTTTCTTTCTTACTTTGTCTCTCTCTCTTTTCCTTCCTTCCCCTCCTTCTCTCCCTCCTTTCTTTGTTTGTTTCTTTCTTTCTTTCTTTCTTTCTTTCTTTCTTTCTTTCTTTCTTTCCTTCCTTCCTCCCTCCCTCCCTCCCTCCCTCCCTTCCTTTTCTTTCTTTCTTTGTCTCTCTCTTTTCTTTTTCTTTATTTGTCTCTCTTTCTTTTCCTTCCTTCCTTCCTTCCTGTGTCTCTCTGCTCTCTCTTTTCCTCCCTCCCTCCCTCCCTTTCTTCCAATGGGGTTTTTTTCCTGATCTCCCGCCAATTAATTCGCCTATGCTTTCTCTTCCCAGCACATGTTGAAGGAAGACGACATGTTCAGGGACTTGGCCACCCGTTCTCCCAGTGCCAGTATCACAGACGAGGACTCGAACGTGTGACCGGGGCAGCCGGGGACCTATTTGGAGCCCTGCTGCTGTGTGTGATGGACACCGCACCTCGTGTGAAGTCATTTTTTTTTTGTTTTTTGTTTCTGGTTTGCAAGAACTGATGGCGGAGAGGGGAATGATCGTAAGAAGTCTATCATCCAAGTTCTGGTCAATTGATGAGACGGGAAGAAAGGACCTCCTAACCCCTTCCGCCCCCCACCCGCTCTGGCGTAGCAATTTGTGCCATTCCTCTAAATAAGACTCTACAGCATAATGTTTTAGTGTGTACAATGTGCCATAATGTACCCTTGTAATTTTCTTTTTACTCCAGTAATGCAAAAAAAATAGAGGGGGTGGGGGGAAGAAATAACCCTCTGCAGACCTCTGACACTAGCATCCATTGCCAAGATAAAAAAAATAATTTTCCTCTTCTTCGAATCAGCCACGTGTTGAAATTCTTGTGCGACTTGTTTTTTTAAATGCAGTTTTTATGAAAAAAAAATATATGTATTGAGTACATAATGGGGCCGGAAGTTTTATACTGTGACGTGTTTTAAAAGCCTCAAAACCCAGCTGGATCCTGGAGAAACCAATTCATCTTGCAAACTGCTTGCACGGAACTCCAATTCTCTTATCTTGCAGGAAGGAATTTTTTTCTCTGACATTGAGAACGGAATCTCTTGAAAATTTCTCTGGACCTGCAGTGTTGAAAATTGTCCCCATTTCCCTTTTATAAAATAACAATTTTTTATAACATTTTAAAGTTTAGTGTGTTGCAATTGAAAATCTGGAGGCCAGATTTTTTTTTTTTCCTGGATTGCAAATTCTTTTTTTTTTTACCTTTTAATGACGAGGAATTTTAGTCAATCCACGTTATTTTACAGTATTAAATTCAAATACGAAATCTTGCCTTTGAACGACCGTTTACGATAACCTATTGAATGTTTATACATGTTAAAGATAAAGCATGTCTTTTTTACTGTCGTTTTTTTTTTTAAATGATCAGACTTTACTCAGTAATAGAGGTGGAAGGGACCTTGGAGGTCATCTAGTCCAGCCCCCTGTACTAGGGATTCGAACCGCTGAACTTTGTATAAATATACAAAAGGATGAAGGCTATTGCTGAGCACATTGTAAGCCGCCCTGAGTCTTCGGAGAAGGGCGGCATATAAATCAAATTTAAAAAAAAAAAAAAAAAACTGCCAACCTTTCTGATCAACAATTCGGATTGAAAAATCTTGGCCAGGCCCCCCCCTTCTCTCCCTCTCTTTTCCTGTTTCAATATCACTTTCGAATGTTTTAATTTTAATTTCCCCTTTTTTTCTGCCTGAAGCGATGGGGAATGCAAAGATTTGGAATTTACTGTCTGGATTATCAGGTGGTGCTGTAGAGATAGTGTGGACCTCAACATTGGAATCGCTGATCCAAAGATTTTTTTTTTATTTTTTTTTTGCAAGAATAGCTAGATAAGTTTTGGGCATATTAGCGGTTATTGGTGGATCCCTTCCATTGAATCTCATCGGTTCTTGGGATTGTAGCATTTTTGATTGGATAAAGACTTTCAACTTTCATTTTACCTTGTTTCCTGAAAGGTTAATTTTTCGACAGTTAGTTGCCTTTCCTTTTCTGCTTCGGATGAGCTTCGGTTTCATTTGGAAATATGTCACCTTGGATGGAAATTGAACTCTTTGCCAATTGGTGCTAATCTAAGAATTTCTGCTACATTTATTTAGAGTTGGACCCATGATTAAAAATTCATGGTGCTGTTGCTCTATAAAATTATCGGGTTTCGCCTTTTTAAAGCCTCGAAAAGCTTCCTCAATACGGTGTAACGCAGCAAGGATTCCCCTTAATAATTTTCTAAATTGATTCACAACTGTTTTTTCACTGAGTTCCTGAGCTTGTTCGAATGAAAGGCAGACAACATTTGTAAATAAAGGTAATTTATGAATTGAGAAGTTCACTTCTTTAGTTA